AATATTGCTATTGCTATAGTTAATATAAAATATAACTATCTGCTTTTTCTTGTATAATTATGTATTACAAAGATTTAGCATTGCCATTTTACCTATTCCTTACACTACACAGGGTTACAGGAATGCTATTGTGCTGAGCAAAATTACATTTTAACAATTGCAATAGTAGTCATAGTGATGGTGTTGTCACAGAAACACTGGAAACCGCATCACATATCCACAATAATAAAGACAAAACAGAAAATAACTTAAAATGACCAAATTGACCAAAATTTCCAATTAATCTTAAACATTTATAGTTCAAATCAAGTCCCTAAAGAAAACAGTACTGTAGCTTGCTCTTAACATTTTTCCCAAAAAGGCATTAGCTGTATTTATAAAAATGTATTTTAATGTAATTTACAGTGTGTCTCTTCTGAACTGCTGGCTAGCATAACTTAACCATGAATTTACCAAAATTTGTAGCACACACCTTCTGAAATCTAATATCTGAGTTGTACGGCTGGTACAGTAGCTCTTTCTGAAACTTTATGATGATGCTTAAATACAAATATGTGTATATTCCAGTCTATTTGAGCACTAGGTAGAAATGACCTAACAAGGGCAATATTGCAATTTGGGGCATACATTCTTTAAGATACTTGATTCAGGAGGAAATGAAGTGGAATGAAGTATCCCTATCTAAAGATCCTGGACATAGTGAGATACTATTGTAGCTGAGGTGACTAAGGAGTCTTATTTCTAGGCCAGATTCACATTAGTGGCATTTATCATTGAGAGGAAAGATGGTATAATTAGCTTGTCAGTCTACTTTAGGCTGAGCTAGCGCTCTCTGTGAAGAAGAATGGACCACGGGCCCAAGGAGCTGACAGCAAGTCGATAATGTGGCAATTAATGTTATAAATAATTCTAAAGCCAATTATATTAAAATGGACCTCATACTCTAAAACAGCACTTTATTTCCTATCATTTCATGAAGTGTTCTGTATCAAATAGCAGGAGCAGAGTTCTTCTTTATTTCGACATATGGCCAACATATGGCAAAGCCATAATGTGAAGCATAAAAATCAGAAGGGCCATGCAAGAGATTTATTTGTTGATTCGTTTGCCTTTGACTTATCAGTGTCGTCCTCATTGCTGAAGCATCGCCCACGGTAAAAGGCAAATACAAAGTGTAAAACCAGTTTTAATCAGAATGATACTGCCTTCATGTTGCTGGCAGTATAAAATGGGCTCAGCTTATAAAGAATGTGAGTAATTTAATGGCTGTAGTGGTTAAATATATCAAATGCTCCTTCTGGCCTTGGGAGGGTCAAGCCCAGTGTGATATATAGAGAAGACTGTGATGGCTGAAGGTCGTGCTTCTTCTGCATAATGCATGAATCCTGTAACTCTCTCTGACTCCAATCTTCTGAACCTGAACCTTGAGATGAAAATTTTACTAAGTAAATCAGCAAGCTTGCTGGCATTTCTATTAACCTCCAGTGTGGAACTGACAGAAACATGAATCACAGTAAATAATATCGTGCAAATTGTAAATCATGTTTACAACTTGAGCTGAGTAGTGATGTTATGGGATTTGCCATCTGTTTGCTGTTTGTTATTGCTAATTTCTTTGCATGGAAGTAAAAGAGAAGGTGATTTAAATGGGCAAAAGTATAATTTAGCACAGTAAATATGGGAGACTTTGATTGCTAATATGGAAACAAATTACATTTGCAACAAGCTCCTATTTTGCAAATCAAGCAACATGCATGGAGTATGTAGAGATGCTGCCTACATCCCTGATGAAGGTCGGCATTGTGATTTAATAAATGCTTACAGCGTACAGGAGATCCATTCAGGTGCTTTACAAAGTGTTTTCCTCTAATGCACGTTTCACTCTGGTACGTGGGGATTTTGTGCAATATCTCAAACCAAAGAACAAAAATTGATTAATGCGTAATTTATTGACAAAATATCCTGATGGTCTTTTCCTTTATCTTTCATTAAAGCTGTAATATTTATGTAGGATTTATTTTGCTTTTATTCAATGATATTTCCTACTTCAAACTTAAAAAATAGCCAAGAGCTTTGATTTATGCATGCATGGAGTGAAACAAAAGAAAGGAAATGTCGACCTTTAGAGGAAACATAAAGGGTCAGTGTTACAGCTGTGCCTTGCAGGCAAATAGCCTCCCAGTGCCGTTGATCTATCCTCGCAACAGGGATGAAATTCTTATCTTTTTGTTTTCTGTTTTTGCTGGAGAAATGTGGAAAGGCATGTTGTTTTATCTTTGTGTACAGGCCACATCAAAGCAGCTATATTAAAAAAACGAGGAACAGATGAAGAAATGCCACCTGTAATGTTAACAGCGAAGTTTTTTTTCTTTTAATTTAAAGCATATTCAGTGCAGAGAATCTTTACTTTGTTTCTGACTCTGCGCCTAAGTCTGCAAGCTCCCCTGCCCCCTTTCATTTCTGTATCAAAGGGTAAACTAATGCAAAATGTATATGTCCCTTGGCACAAAGGATGGTGGTGAGGCTCAGTACAGGAAGATCTGTGTGCTAAAAGCTTGAAACATCTGTGTAAACACATGGCTTTTTTCCAACCATGTAGACAATGTTCTCATAGCCTTAAGATAGATGTCCAAGGCAATATACCTTGCCCCGGGGCCATGCTGCAATGGCTTTGAACATCTGAAAAACCTTGAGCTTCAAGCAATATCCACTTTCAATGTTCCAGCTTGACAGCAAAGCATAGAAGAATTCAGACTGTGGTGTTTATTTGACTTTTTGTTGTTCCAAGCTTTGGTTCGATTGCGCCTTTGTATAGTGGAAATACATTGTAAAGGTATAGTCCTACAAATTTGAAAAGTGTTGCGGAACCATGATTGGTTTTCGCTAGATTATTTTTAAATTTAGAGGAGTGGAAGGTTTTGAAAGTCAGGAGCAAAGAGAACAAAAAAAGAGAGAACCTTCTGCCTTTGTTGTTCTTTAATTCTGTTAATAGCCCAAGGTAAAGATTTATCTGCTCTTGTCAATTTACCTCAGTCTCAATATAAAGCACCAAGGTCACTTTTTCCTTGCCTGGCCCACAGGATTAAATTGTCATGTCCCTCTAATAGGCAGCACAGGGAATCATTAGTCCAGCTCAGCTGCCTGACTGATAGGCATTTCAGTCCAATCATGGGAGTGTGCCGCCACAGGCCAGCCAGTATTGACACTGTGTCAGGACTGAGAGGGGACGCCTTAATCAGGCAGGACACTCTCAACATTGATTTGACAAGCTGCCGTAATGACCCCCTTGTTTTGGTAAAGGATCACTGTTTATCCGAGCTGGCATTGATGCACTTGGAGTGCTGCATTGTCATGGAAACTATTATCACCCGTACAGCTGGACAAGAGTTGTCCTCAGAGGCTACAGTGGATTTCTGTGTTGCTGAGTGTGTGTTTGTGAATAGGCTTATGCACTCACAGCATAGCAAAGTTTCAGTCAAGGTATTTCTTTAATGCGAATAGATTTACATCATATCTCTGTGATCATTTGCTTTTTTGGTAGTTCATTTATTTTAGTGGGATTTTTTTTTTTTTACAGTAATGGTTTACACCTTCCAATAACAAGTGCAAGATCCCTGGTTCGATTCCACGTGGAGACACAAATCCCTTTGGAGTTGCACAGGAAGGGCATCCAGTGTAAAAATCTGCCAAAAGTAGCTTTACTGTCCCACAATCTCAAGATTTTTTTTTTGTTAGGGCACCCCCTCTCTTAAACAGCCTCCCCCAGGAGGTCAGATTGGTGAGCTTCCTATCATCGTCCTTTAAATCTGTCTTAAAGACATGTTTTTGTAAGCGGGCTTTCTCAGTGCCTCCAGCTGGAGCTACTTTTACATCGTCTCCTTTTGTGAGATTATTTAAGTTATTTTTATTCCTTTAGTGTCTCGTTCTACTAGCTTCCCCTCAAAATTCAGTAAAACTTTAAAATTTTTCTATTCTTTAATGTTTATCAGTGTCTTGTTTTGTCTTTTAAAACCCTTTGTAATTTTATTTAAAAGATCCTATAAAGAAAGTTTATTCTTATTCTTCTACTTAATATAGTCATTGTTGTTTTTGTTGTTGTTATGTATTTATGTTGGATATTTCTAATTACTGTTATACTATTTAAGACAACTGACCATTTTTTTAATTGACATTTACACACAGTCACCAAAATTTCAGCTATACTGGTACTGAGAATTTATTATTTTGGGTTTTTTCCAAAATATTTGCCCTTTTAAAATAAAAAAAAATTAAAAAAAATTAATAGTGCATATAAAAATGTAATATTTTACAGTACAATTTTGTTACTTTCCTCTCTCTGTCACAAACTTGACTATGTAACAACTATTCACTTTTTGTGACACAAACCAGCAATGTCATGTGATTTAGGAGAGGCACAAAACTCAAAACTTTTAGTGTTTTAACCCCAAATTTAGCATTTATATATTTTTTATAACATTTTTTAATGTTTTGTGCAATAATAGCTGATAATGTAACCCTTTAAAAAAAGTGCCAGCTCATTTATAATTTGACACAGTAAATCACTGCTTTGTAAATAATACACATATATAGTAGTCATAGACTGTTTTTAGTTCGATAGTTAGGCGTGTTTGTTTACTAAGAAGAGGTGACACTGCTGTTGGCAGGAGGATAAGGGAAATCAGCGGCCTCTCTGCGAGGTGTTAGACTGTAAATATTATTGGCATGCTGACAGTCTCCCACAGAGCCATGGTGTGTAAAAATCGTTAACAAGCACGATGATGGGCTCTCTCCATCCCTCAGGTGAGAATGTGGAGTGTGTTTTTACATCAGCCATTATCCAAGAGGGTACAACGAGGTGTTCTGTGTCACGTGATCCAAAATTGTGCAGCGTTATCAAAGAGATAGTGTAATTTATTTTTCTCCTTTTTGGGGTGCGCGTGTGTGTGTAAAACATCATTAACATCCTTTTAAAATCTGAGAAAATAAAGAGACAAGACATATTATAGAACACAATACATCTGCTTTTAATTTGTGAAAATACAAAATGAAATCATGTACAATTTATATACAAGGCTATTTGTACAAGACAATAAACAGTTTTTATTATTGTGTATGATGACATAGTCAGAAATATCAACTTAGCACTGGCATTGTCGATGTGCTAAAAAAAAAAAAAAGCACAAAATAATACAGACTAGACTGCAATGTTGAATGTCTCTCAACCCCACAGGTACTGTCAAACGGGAACACACTAGAAAAAAAATACTTCACATTAAGCTTTACACATTTACATACAACTGAATTGCTTTCAGGCGCTGCTCTTGATGATGGATTGATTTAGAAGAAAAAAAGTTTTAAGACTTCTCAGACTGTTTGCGACAGTCGTAGCTATCTCCAGTGAATTTTTAAGAACGCTAAACTAGAAGCCTCTTTTCGCAGCAGTGGGTCTTCCTAGAGTCCTCCATTGGCTTCAGCACTGCCTGGCACATTACTGGCACTGAGGGATGGACAGCTTGGGTTTCCTCTGTGCCAGTAAAAATGTCACAACCTCTCTCATTTTACATCCAACATGAATCCTAGGCTGGACTGTTATGTGTCATATATGGATCGAGAAATTCATGGAGCAATATGTGCTTTTCTTTGCTCTTTTTTTTTTTTTACCTTTCCTTCCCCCTCATTGATCCTAAAGTAAAGTGACAACAGTGCCAGTATAGCTGTGATTCATTATTAAAATAAGACATGATTAATAACACCACACACATTATTCTGTGCTTCCAAACAGAAACAAATGATTGGTGCTTTATTAGAAGCAAGTGGATATGAAAGATATGTAATCAGTCATTGAGGAGGTAAACAAAACAAAGTATTCCAAAAAAAAACCAAATAGCCAAAAATTCAGGGTTTTGTTTTTTTTTATGATAGAGCTGTTCTTCATGCATCAACAAAAATCATGTCTGTTTATGGCATTAAGATTGGTCATGGAGAACATACAAGTTGCTTAATGGCCTCCAAGACAATCCTGTGTCAGGCAGTGCTTACAGCCAAAGGAGGACTTAAATGATGCCCACTTTATGCGATATGTGGCTTTTACATTCATCTTACCTACAAGTATATCATATATGGTCATAGCATTTGGCTTAGCTGTTTATAGTGACTTAAGTAAATGGATAAATGTAAAATGAACAAACCTTTGGATTTTTGGTTGTTTTATAATATAACCAAAATTTTTAAAAAACCCAACAAAAACAGCTCTATCATATTTGGCTATTAAAAAACAAAAAGAAAATTTGCAGATGCAAGTACTTGTTAACACTTCCGGGGTTTTGGACAACTTGAAATAGCAACATGAAAACATTTATAACACCTGAAAAAAGGCAAAAAAAAATAAGACAAACATAAATGGATTCAGATAAGGCTGGACCCAAATGCCATTTACATATGGACACTGGCCGTCGTAACTGTCACAAATGTTGTGAATTAGCTCCAAATGGCAAAGGAATCACTGAGAGTCAGTCACTAACAATGCCATTGTGGTGGGGTTGCAGCTGGGTGTAAAATACACATTTTAAACATACTGTACAGACTAACTCTGCAACATTGGTTAACGTAAATGCAGAAGTAGTAGTAGTTGTTCATACACAGCTAAGAAGGCAACTTTTACAATTGCAAAACTTGATCCATTAATCCTAATAAACACCCCTTTTAGCAGTATTAGAAGTAGTTATTCTGTTTTTTTAACATTGCTTTTCTTGTTGACGTGACCATCATTCCCCAAAATAAACCAAAAAAGTCATGGAGTCTGGCCACTGCTAAAGGTTAGCTGTGCAAACTAATAGCTGAGTGACTGTGATATTTGACAACGATTGTCTTTAATGAAGATTACGTAAAATAAACTTGCTGCAGAGGTGAATGACGAAAGCAGTACATGTTCGCCTTATACGATGAAAAAAATGATGATTTGCGTTTGCAGATGAGGCGATATCTCAGATTCCGGACGGACGCCTACACGATGAGTCTTCTAGGAGTCCAATAACCAGCACGCGTCCAGAACTCAGCGCTTGTGCTCTGCTTCTCTGATGGGTGGAATCAAGCTGCTTGCGGATGTACAGTATATCGACTGATGTGATTGACGGCGAGAGTATTCACAGGCTTGAGCTTTATGGTCCTCTGGTGGGTATTCTGTTGCTCATCTGTAAACCATGTCTTTTCTGAGAAAGAGTCAAAATCATAAAAAGACAAGAAGGGAGGACATCAGACAGTTAATGCTACATGGAGGTCAAATATTTTGCATTAATATGATGCATTTTTACATGCACTAATAACATTTTAAAAAATGTTTTTTCTAAATTGTTGCTTTACGAAGGTATTTTAAGCTCCACGGTGAGTTTTTAGTGGTGGGAAAACATCACTCATTATGTTTTTACCTCCCTCTCTAATATTTCAATCACGCTAGTGTAAAAATAGGACAGCAACCTCCTTGTGATTAGGAGAAATTAGCATTTGCCCAGTGATTGGATTTAATTGTTTTGCTGTCAGGGGTCTATTACAAGTAGTCATGGTTGCCAACTGGTTGCCCAGCGACTGAGCTTGCAACACCCTCCACCTCTGGATTGAGGGTGTTGCACGCAATGGCACTGCACAGATCGCCTGGTGGGAGGCAAACTGTCTTCAAATAACTGTAATCACTCTCACACAGATTGGCGAATGTTTGCAAGTAACTGCCGCCCTATTTATTAATCTAGAAAGCAAGGTAATCTCCATCCCATAGCAACTATTTGTGGAATTTCTGCTTTAGGTTAGAATGTAAGATGTTTCTGTGCATGTAGACAAGAGTAGCATAAGATTTGTGAATTTCACTGAGAGCAGACTCTTGGTGCAGTTTGAGAGGGCAAGTGACGGCGAGTGGTCGGAGGCAATAGATCTCAGGTTCATCGTGCACATTTGCAATAATTTTGATTGTGTTGCTGTCTCTACTTTTGTCTCCTAGTGCGATTGTAGCATAATGCCATTCATCTTATGGCCATTTTTTAAAAATATACTGCCATGAAGCATGCAGCTTTGTTGAGTTTAAAGACATGCAAGTTCCAGTGAAGCAAAATCTCTTTACCAAATTACAAGTTAATGCAGGACTTCCACCTTCATATTTATTATATGTATACGTATATTTTCAAACTTCAAACTTTTGGTTTGATGCAACTTTTTTTGGTTAAGAAGGAAATAGATAACCTGACATTCTACAATGTGATTCATCCGCTTGGCAAAGTCCATGGTCATGACCTAAGGCTGTTATACTGTGGTGCATTAATACATGTGCCAGCAGACACATGTTGCCAGTAACAAAACATTAAACAACAGTAAAATGTAGCATCAAACCATTCAGTTGCAGTCACACATTCTACAGTCAAACCCGCTGTGAACTGTGCTGCTTAGGTCACGACCATGCTCTCCTGAAGCAGTCATTTGGAAATGCTAAACTACTTGGCTTTCATTCAGAGGGCAACATGTCAGCAGGGACATGACCGTGTTCAGTGCAAGTATGTAATATCATGCATATTCATTCACTTCCATACCTTGGCCAACTCTACTTATCCTTGTTGCACTTTGAAAAGAGAAAGTAGTACACTACGTGTAAGCTAAGTGGGAAAATACTAATGCGACCATTAATAACAGAAAAGGCAGAGCAGGAAGATCGGAGGCATAAAACCAGCAGATGATCTCATTGCGTATGGATTTGGAGTAGGTTAAACAGTAGGTTGCCACTAATCACAAAAAAAGATAACGAAAAACAACATAGGTCATGTAAAAATATCTTTAAGTGCCATTATTATGCATCCAGCATAATAATGCATGTCAGACAGCCATAATCTTCCCATGCCTATTGTTAAAGCAGTTTTAAAAAATTATCTCCAAGTTTCAGATGGAAATACCAGCATGCAGCTGCACGTCAGATGTTTTTAAATCAAACGAATACACTGGTGTGTTAAATGGATCTCTGTAAAAAAGTGCAATGCATCGTATTAACTGAGCATGAGCAGTATTGTTAACCATAAAAAGCCTGTAGTGTTCATTCAGCAGCTGTGACACATAAGCATTCCCTTTGAATGAATGTGAAAATATTATGATATTGCTATTATTTGTAGAATGCATACCTCTGTCAATTCTGCAAAGTCCCTTCACTGTGTTAATAACAGTAAAATACTGAGATACCTGTAATCAATATATACTCAGAGACAGACAATTAAATTAAACCAAACAATCTTAGACCCCATCCATACCGGGAATATATTCAATAAATATAACCGGCCCCATGAACCAAACCCATGAACTTAAGGACAGGCCTGATTAACAACATTTAGTAATTAATGCAAATACAAATACTGCACATGGCACAAACAAGCTTTTGTGATTCAAACAAGTCTGTACTTTATGGTCCAACATACATTAGTAAAGACATAAAATGAGTTATTCGGAAGCACAGAGGCATACTTATAGACAGTATAAAAGATGGATGTCGGTCCTGAGCCTGACAAGTGGAGCCGATACAGAAGCGCCCTAATGTTCTTTGCCCAGCAGGGAATTATTTCCCTGGTTCCAAATAAGACTTCCTGTTGTATAGACGTACATGGTAAAATAGCTCTAAGCTTCATTATTCTGTGAGCTCAGTAAATATGCAACTGGTGACTTTAATCAATAGTTTCAGATAATATGGGTTATTTGGGAAATTATGGCTGTTATTCGACTCATAAAGGAGGATTTACAGGGAATGTTCATTATCCAAAGACTTGTGATGGCGAATGCGATGAAGTGTCTTCGGTTTCCAACCTCTCTGGTTTCAAAACTCCAAGAAATCAACAACCTTTTATATATCGATCTTACAGTCTTTAATTAAATGATTCACCTGATTCATTATGCCAACTTGCAGGCACTCTATAACAAACACCTGCCAGACACCACAATGTATTTATAATAGGGTATATTGCACTAAAAGTACAGGTTAAGTGTACTTAACAAAGGCATTATTTCATTATGGGACCTGGTAGGCTTGCACTACATTGGTACAGCCTATAGAGAACAACCATAGTGTACAAATAAGTCCTGAAACTCTAAGTGTAGCTTAGAGGCTCTGTCTTCTTGTACAGTGTAATGCTTTACAGCTGTTATGTTTCTATATTGCAAATTGCAAGTTGAAAGCTTATGGATAGGAAATGGATTCTTTACCTTTTTAGAGTTATCGAGAGAAAGGAAAGCCAAATACATTTGAGGACATGCTTTTGTTAAAAATGGGCTGGAGCCACCTGTGAAGAATTATCTACACAATCTAAACTCTGACTTCTGTACATCTGGTTAAAAAAAAAAAAACTTGTAGGTATACGTGGTACCATTATAAAAGATTGATGACTGATCAAAGTGGTATCATCCAGTCAGCTGCTTGTGTCTTGAATACACTATGGTTGAAGCTGTCAGCTTATCAATCACTTGAAAAAAGTGTATGTGGTCGGGGACTTGGTAAGCCCAAACATGATGTTGAATTGGGAAAGTCTAGCCAAAGTAATAAAATCTGGAAGTATGAAATCTACTTTGAATAACTATCCCTGCTTCTAGCTAAGAGTTGGATAGGATGCTATGTACATTTCCACAGCAGAAACGCCTTCCTATAGCGATTCACACCAACTATAGTGTCATCTGTGGAGACCACAGGTGTAGTAAGGCTTCAAACTGAAGTAAGACCTAAATTGTGAAATCAAGACAAAGGCAACAAGAAGATTATAAGGATTCCAGCTCCTTTGGTTGCAGGTCGAATACTCTGTAGAGAAAAAAATGCTAGCTATTGCTGCCGTATGCTGACAGTGTAGTACTCACTGCTTCATCGAACCTTTACTTTAAGCAGTTACGGGCCCAATTTGCAGCGGTGCATAGAAATTCTGATTCAGTTTACCAGTCTAATTACTGGTAATAAAAGTGGTAATCATAATACATGAAAATGTCTCTTCACAAAGTTTAACAATTGTAGAATAAAACTGAAATGTGACATTCACATTGTGCGGGTCAAACTTTATTAACAACCGTAGCATTTTATGCTTGCAAATTGTCTTGACATAACTAATAGTTCACGGTGGCAAGTAACATTTAACTAAAAGCGCAGCTTTCTAACGCAAATCAAAAGGCATTGAGAGGACACGATGTGCAAGAATTCATTGACATGACATGAACCTTTAAGACGTGTAATTTTAAAAGTGCAATTTAGTACAATAAGTTTCAGCTTTAATTCGAAATTAAACAAAACTCGGAATGCTACAAGTGGAAAGAGACGGTGGCCATAATCACAGAGGTGCTGGATATTAGCAAAACAAAAAGGAAAGATGGAGGTTGTACAATGTTTGTCACTTACTACCCTGAGGGTAATTACTTTGTCATGTTCTATGATGTGTTTGCCAGTGTCACATATATAATAATATCCTTTTCTTCCACATTAGATGGAGGTTGAGAGGGGTCTGTGAGTATAGGTAAGGCTTTCGTAGTTAATTAAAAGTTGGTAAGCGGTTAACTGGACAGAATTAGTTGTAGAAATCCTGATCTATATTTGCACTTGACTGAAAGTGTACTAGTCAGGATGTTACTACTGTTCTTGGCTTTCAAATGCACAAGAATGTGGGAAAAAAACAGCTAATGGATGGAATGAAACTCAGTCCAGGGGAGTTCCAGTTATTCTTTGACCTGCAATATTAGCCAATCCTGCTAAAGAGGAAACCCAATCTGTACTAAATTGCTTTGTTAAACACAAAAGTGGCACATACATACACCATCAGATGGACATACACAGTTTGACACTCAGACGTGTGAAAGTCTGTCTGGACAAACAAGTCAAACGCTGTCGGCAGGCACCGGTCACGGACATAGACAGTCACAGAGCTTTAGAGGGGCACATACTTTTGTTTGTCTCGCGAGTCCCTGCTTTTGGCTCGGTTGGTGCGGTTGGTGGTGGGGATAGAGTGGACGGAGGAACTCTTTTTGCTTGAAGAATGGGATGAATGGGAAGAATGGGAGAGGCTGGTTCGAGACTGGCCAGCGTTGTGGTCAAACTGCATCAGGCAGAATATCAGGTCTGAGGGCACCAGCTCAAATGCATATGGTGGATTGGTTATGACATATCTAGAGGAAAAAGGGACCAGATGTGAGGCCAGTTATAAATAAAGTAATACATGAATCCATTATTATTTGGATTTCAGTTAAATGCAAGAACACATACCGTTTGGTACACTGGCTTTGTGTGTTTAGATGTGCGTCTCGTAGCCGATAGATGCCAAAACACAACATGTTATAAGTTTTTAGGGCTTTACAAAACAGGTCACCATAACAACCACCATCCTGTAAGAGAGCAACACAAAACTGATGAGTACACAATTTGTATTTTGTAAAACCAACACTAAAAATACATATTAACGTCATAGAAAAATAGAATCTGTGTTACACAGCGTAGTCTTTTCTTTTCCCTTGCATGCTCTTTGTTTTGTTTACTGTTGTCTATGTAAATGAAGGACAAAATTGTCTCCTGACCACACTCAAATAAAATCGGCAAATAGATCTCTAGCATTACGTCTTTATCTGATACAGCTGGATAATAAAGCAGAAAGTCATGGAAATTAAGCAGATAACTCGAAAAGAAACACAAGCATTCGACAACAACATTTTACAGCACACAGTTAACTCATTCCAGTTGAAGTGGAACTGCCACAATTAGAGGATTCGGTCACCAGGGTAAAGCAATGATGGATTTCATGGAATATTAGAGAATATTAAGAGAGCCATAGCACAAAATAAAAGAAGCCTCCTTGGCTCATTAGCTTTGTTCTGCCATTTATAGTACTGTACAGGAGTCTTGAGCCACCCCTCCTTTGTTTATATTTAGCTTCCTAGGAGTCAGACTAAATTTTAAGTTGTCTTTGGAAATAGCTTTCTGAAGGCTTTTAGTTTTTCTTTGGACATCGGCTGCTTTCTGTCATTTTCAGTTCAGTTCTTGTACCTGACCACTGTCAGAGGATTTTTTTTTTTTTTTTAAATCATATGAATCATTCAAGCATAAATAAAGGGACCTAACAGACGGGATGAGTTAGGAAAACAAAAAAAGAAGATTTTAGTCACTTCATTACTAGCAACCTGTCACAAAACCCATCATTTGTTCCCATGTCTTTAGTTGATTTGGGTTAATGAAAAGGACCAACAAATGTAAATTCCCAAAATATATTAGCTTGAAGCTTGGTATATCTCATGGTGTGTAGTGCGTACTTAATTTGAGGAAACTGAACAAGTAGAGGACAAAAGAAAAAGTGGCAGGCTTTAAAATCTATCTACAGCAGATGACCAGTGTGTGAAAGCTGTGTCCATAAGAAATAGGAAACATCCAGCAAAGACCTGAAACACGACCTGAGAAATGCATCTGGCTCTTCAGTTGATCCATCTACGTAAGTGCTAACAATCAGTCAATATGCTATTAAAACTAACATCTTAAATAAATGCCAAAATACTTATTTTATGCTTATTCTATAGATAAATATAACTTATTTTCTATTCATTATACAATTTCAGCTATGTCACAATCACTCAACACAGTTTTACATCCCCATCCCATCCCCATTACTCTGCATCCTTCAGTAACAGCAGCTCCCACAAAGCAAGCTGACAAAAATGTCCTTAGCCCCCAGGTGACAAGACCAATCACTTACCCCGAGGTCGGCAAAGGGCCCATCGTACAAGGCCAGCTGTGCCACGCGACACCTGTCCCTGTTTGCCAGGGTCTGTGGTGTGCTGTAGCCACCTCTTAATGCATTCTCCTCTGCCAGCAGCCCCTCCAGCTCCGGTGTCGCCCCGCCCGTTACCAGCGTCCGGATCAAGGTGAGGATATTATCATTGAAGTATGTCTGAAGGAATGAAGTTAGAGGGGGGTGAGTCCTTAAGCAAACACTCCCAAAGTCACAACTGAACCTTCTCAGCGTGCCAGGCAGATTGAATGGTGCTATCTAACCCTGCTCTGTCGCATCACATTGGTCTGAACATGGAGTGAAAAGACAGGAGAATCCAGTTACTGCAGGTCACACCTACTTCCATCAGAGCAGCGAGTCCATGTTCACACTTGTACAAGGATTTATTACTTAGCTTTATATAAGAAAGAAAAAAGTCCGCTTTATAAACCACACACTAAACCTGAAGATATACTCCTCTCTGTAATTGTTATCTTTCTAATCCCTCCTCAGTTATTGCTTTGCTGATTTTAACAAGGGCAAATGTCTCCCCTTTTCTTTTCACTGCAGTCGCTTGTCTCCCCCTGCTTGTACAGCATGGTGACATCTCCCTTGGCTGCTGACAGCACTATTGACTCAGATGATGGATGAGGGCTGTCCATTAGGTAGCATTACCTTTGTCTACACTGGAGCACACTTGAAGGCAGCTTTGTTCTAACCTCACTCAAACTGAAAGGCAGACAAATGAAGCCATCATGCCTTGTACAAGTTCCAGTCTTGTCATTCATTCTTTTAACAGAGGACCAGAATGTGCCTACTTTATTATTTGTATTATTTTTTTAGATTTAGTTGTAAAGCTCGGCCAATATAGGATTTTTAAAACCGATACAATACTGATACCGATATTTGGCAGTAAAGAATTCAGTATATTAGCGGTTATTCTTTTTCTTTTAGACACACGACACAAAAAAACATTTGTTATGTGTCATTATTAAGGGTTATATTTTTTATTTCATCTCATCCAAGAGGGTTCTTCAGTTCCATAACCAAAAGGTTATGGAGGTATTTAAACCCAAGTGGGAGTTTCCCCTTTGGAGATGAACATGTGTTTCATCACATGAGCTTAGCAGAGCCCTATTAGGGTTTAAATACCTGGGATTCTCCACGTTTTGCTTCTTGGACTGAAGTGAAACAAACAAAAGCCCAATCTTCTTCTTTTCAAGCTCTTAAGACTGCTGATACAGCTTTATCAGTAAGTAGCTAAATATCAGTCGATACCGCGACTATTTAGTTGACCTATTTTGCAATTGACAGATGTTATTAGAAATTCGATTTTTTGACTTACCGCACTCATTAAGGAATCCAGCACACTGACTGCAAATGCTGTCCCACAGGCAAAAGGCTGTGTGAGGTACAACTCTGTGTCTGGGTCGTCGTCATCATCTTGATCCAGGAACTGAACATTCGAGTCATTCACTATGGGGTAAACGTGTTCATTTTATTAGCTATTTCAGTTCAGCTTGTTTTTTGTTGGGGTTTTTTTACTGCACACTGAGTCCAACATGGCAAATGCTTGATTCACGTGAAGAGGAGGACACAACAATACAGCGGTTGTGCACAACAGTCAGTAGCAGCAGATATGGACTGTATTAGAAATCGGTGAATAGTTTCGCATATTCTCCTCATTTGCTTAGTTCCAAATTTGGACCACATTTTAGTTTCTTTAAAAGAACTAAAATGACATATGTGTCTGGTGTTTGTATCCAGCCTTGTGGCCAACTTGCCTCTGCCACATTCCATATCCAGGCCATTCATGCACACTCATGACACCATGCATATTGTCAAAGTTCCAGGCCTTAACTTGAAGTCCTCCTGAGGTCACTATCAGTAACACCATTATGCCATTGTTTGTCTTGTAAATCCAAGACAGAACTTCCAATTACTTGTACTTGCATGTCAAGTCAAATGAAAGTATTTCATTGCCCCAGAACCTTCTTTAAAGATGTCTTTGAGCACAAAAACACATGCAGTAGCTGGAAGAAAGTAATGATGTAAAATTTAGTTGGAGAACTGCTTCTTCTGTGAGGACAGAAATAAATGTCAGTCATATCGACAGGGCTGAGATGAAAGAAGGGCACGGGACAGAGAATGTGATCCGACAGAAGATGCTATGAAAACAGCCACAAGGACTTCTGAGGGATCAAAGACCCTGTAATTCTTAGAAAAATAAAAGGGAGAAATTTTGCTTTGAGATAGGGAGCCAAAACAAGACAGGCAATTTCAACCAGAACCAAGGGTAAAATGTGCTCAAAGTGATGCCATGGGAATGGACTGAGCCTCTTGTGCAGCACGAGAAATCAAAAGAAAGCTGATATGGAGGCAGCAGCAGTTACGACACTGCAGTACAGGACAGAGGCACTTCTTCTTACCCAGCTCAGTTATCATTTGTATGCTGGTCCCACTGCTTTTATCCTGACTGAATGAAATCACAGGCAGTTTTTTGCCTGGCTTTGCTAATGGCGCTAGACAAGTGTTAAGGAAAAACAGTTACTGGTACATGCCAACAAGGGACAAAAGCATAAACAAATTCCACTTTTAGTACAGTTAATCAAGTGATGACAGCCTCTAATTGCATAATTTGTGTTTTCGGAGATTTGTTTACAACTACTACACTGAAAAGAACATAAAACAGCAGAGCTAGCATATCAATCAACACGTAGCAGCAAACCATACCTAGTTCTGTTATGATGGGGATATTTGCTCCAGTGGTGACAGAGGTCTGCCTCACCAGTCCATGGACTGGACTATTCTCAGGAGATGATCTATCCATTCCTGGTGGTGTGAAGCCTTAATGGACATACATGTCACACAAAGCACATCAGTTAATACTAGGTTCAGTACTTGATTTTAGAGGTTACGATAATGCACATCAGCAGAACTAATGTGTCGGGGTTATTTCATCTATTTGCAGCCGCGAGTGAGGTGTAAAGTGCAGTGTTACCATATTCTTGACAACGACCAGTATTGATTTATATATAATAGATGTGACAAACAGCTCATTTTGTTTCCCTTTGATTGTGTGTGCATGGAGACAGAAACATTTTACAAACATATGCAAAAAAAGCATGTACAATATGGAGTCATGAAATAGAAAATCAGTGACGCAAGATTGAATCCAAATTGACTTGACATTTCTTGCTTTCCTCAGACTGACAAGTAAGCACATTAAATCAGTGATGCTGTATGTATAATACATAGGGTATGTTGTGATATCCATCACTTACTGCTGACTAAGCAGCACCATGCGAGGTCATACATGTATTAGAGGAATAATGAAATTGTTGGAGACCCTACCACCACCACACCCTCCACCCGTCGCGAGGCCAAAAGGTTTCTAAAAGGATTTCTCTCAGTGCCAAATAATGGCCCCTTACTGAAGACCATCTGAAGCTAACTGAGTGCTTCAAGTGTCATTTAGAAAGCTATAACATGCAATTTTAATACATTGCACACATTAGTTTTATGAAAGTAGTCTCCGATATTGAAAAATAACAATGTGCAAGCCAGGCAAATCTCTTGTGCCAGAGCTGTGCTTGTTGCCACCAATTAAGTTTGTGAAGAAACCAGTTGTTACAGTAACCTGAGGAATAGTCAGCTGGGTTTACTGTCAAACACAGTGACACCAGGTCAGCCAAGCAGCACCCACTGAGGAATATTCTCTGTGCCAGGGCCCTGTCCCTTCCAGGCAGTGCAGTGAACTATGATAGGGCGCTCCTTACCTTGAGAATTAGCCTGCAAGACCCCGATGCTGTCATCAAACTGCATAGATTTGATGTTGAGTGACGCCAAGATGCATTCTTTGTCCTGCAGTGATGCATCGTCAATATTGTTCTGATTGGCTGACAGAATGACACACATGTCGCAGAGGTTGATGTTGACAGCCCTCAGATCTGCCCTACTCAACGGTGTGCCCTTTGAGAACCAGTGAAGGAGAGAATTTGTTATCTCACCTATAAGGTACAAGAAATAAATCAAAGTTTTGAACGGCAGGCAAACTCGAAACTTATGTCGGCCTCGTGTGCATGCTCCAAATTATACTACGCGCTGCTGGCGAGTCCTGACAAATGCTGCTACTGCTAATTATGTCTTTCACAAAGTCTTTTAATGGTGGAACAAAAAAAATTGTGGATGCTCATATTAAACATGAACAAAGTTTCAAATAATGAGGTCAGCGAATGTGCAAGTATTCACTATAAGCTCGAGCTTAAGACTTTTCAGGCCAGATTTACTAAATGGGACAAAAAAGCATGTGAGCGAAATCCTCATAGTGCTCATGGGTGTGGTTAGTTTAATGGTTGTGCCTATAAACACAAGCACAGTCAGTTCATATAAAGTGCACAAGTTAAGACATGTTTTTTTCTGTGTTAAATATCAACGCAATTAGCAGTAAATAATAATAATGGATTGCATTTATACAGCGCTTTTCGGGGCCCTCAAAGCGCTTTACAATTCCACTATTCATTCACACACTGGTGGAGGCAGCTACAGTTGTCGCCACAGCTGCCCTGGGGCAGACTGACAGAAGCGAGGCTGCCATATCGCGCCATCGGCCCCTCTGGGCATCACCAGTAGGCGGTAGGTGAAGTGTCTTGCCCAAGGACACAGCAACCGAAACTGTCCAAGCTGGGGCTCGAACCGGCAACCTTCCGATTACAAGACGAACTGCCAACTCTTGAGCCACGATCGCCCTTAGTGTCTATTGTAAAAATTTCTACGTTGATTCGTGCAGTTGATTTAAATATTCTCCTCCCATGTCTTGATGCATGTTCAGGCGTCCAGGTAAGTAAATCTCCAAAAGTTGATTCTGTTCATGTGGACATCCAGATGAAAAGAATCAACTTTTGGAGTTTCTCCTCCCATATTTTGCATCTTATTGAAGGAACGCTCAGAAACATACATGCAAACATCTTTAAGTTGTCACCTCTTACGCATAATCTTCTCACTGCTATCTCTTTGTAAATACTAACAATACAATACAATTTTTTATTATTTTTTACACCTAAACCCAGTTTGTGCTGATGCAACGTGTTTATAAATCTGTCCCTTGGTGCGCAGCTTTCTGACTTTTTTTCCCCTTCTGGCACTGTATGATGTCAGAAAGAGAGAATAACCTCCATATAATCAATTCGGGTACAGAGGTTTAGCTGTGAGCCACCTGCTATCCGTCTGATTGAAATTTGTAGCCAATCAGTAGAAATCTGGCTTACAAGGTGAAGGAACAGCGCTGAAGCTTGTTTAACACAGCAGATGAACTGACAGGATGCAACTAAGTCCAATATGAGATAAATAAGGATTCCTTATTCTGGGAGTCATGCATAGCTTCCCTAATAAAGTCCAGGCAGAAATTCGCATAATCAAATCCACAATGTTCCCCTAAACCTAGCCAAATTCTTTGCTAGCATAACCACATAAATATTAATCATTATGTAATGTCCAGGATTTAATATTCTCCCGAAAACCACAAATTGTTGATGGCTTTAAGATTTGTTAACAATGAGCATTTTGCAGGACAGCTTGCAAAATAACAATGTGCTCTTTATACTGATGAAACAATATCACGTTTCCCACAAAATACATTTGTTAATGAGCATTATATGCACACCAGTTTAGAAAAACAAAGGCATCACTTTGACGTGATCTAGATAAACATTTGAAATTAGTGATTTTTCTCTACTTACAGGCAGAATGGAGACTTTGGGGAAATTATGCAGAGTTTCCCATTCCCGCTTCAGATACTCAAGGGAGCCGACAAACACAATATGCTTCAGCTCATGGTAGTGAAAGTTGCTTGCTCTCAGAGGCATCACAAAGTTTCGGACACCGATCAGCGCTGATTTCACGTCTCCAAATATGCACACGACCACATGACCGCTCAGAACAGTCATGGCTGCCTCACTCCGTGTCTGAGAGGGAAAGAAAGGGATAAGGGATCAATATGTTCCTGGCTGGAATTTGCATAAATGGGCATTTCCAACAAATGTTAGCGCTTTCTCCTTTTGCAGTGAGCCTGCCCCCCCTGTAAAATATATCATGCAGTTCTGCACTGCAATGAAAGTAATTTGAAAAATGGCATATGTATTAGTACAAGAAATTTTCCATAGTGCAGGGCACTCTTGTAGCAAATGACATGTCAAACACCTCATTACAGAGTGTTTAAGTGCCCTGTCAACCTCTGATAGTGCTTTGTGACATGACACATCTGTCACCAGGGAGAAGAGTGTCGGGACAAATGACGTGTACCGAGTGAAGGAGCAGGACCCACCAAGATGACCTTCTCAATGTCTTTGGACGGGCACCAGTGAAACATCCCCGTGGAGTCATATTTCTTTACGTTCTCGTCCATGCTCTCAATCTGCTCGTTTCCCAGGATGAGGAGTGGGTCATGTCTAATCAAACAAAAAGATGGGAGGGAGAAAGTGAAATTATATCATTGATTTGAACAAAAAACACATTTTATAAATTAACCATAAGAATATTTGGCAATCTGCAAATAAGTCGCTTTTACTAAAAAAAGAAAAAGAAAAAAAAAAGGTTGCTTTCTTCCTAGTTTTTCCCGCTTCCTCTTTTCGTTTTCCTGTCAGAGGCCATCTGCAGAAATGCCAACAAAACTGCCATGTCATCAAGCAGAGTGACATCAGCAGCAGCAGCCAGGCGGAAGAAGATGGCAGCAACACACTGCGTTGACTGGCATGAGCACGGAGATGCAATTACGCCCCCTTACTGCATACGGCTTTTGACGTAGTGCGCTGCGTGGTAAAAGCTTTAACAGACCAGACTTTAAATATTTCAGCAATTTGCCCAACCGTATTTGCTTTCCAAAGTGAAGGGTATTAATGTTTAAACAGACCATCAGAACTATATAAACTAATTTCACTGGTGAACATTAACGCTGACCACTAAAAGTTGTCTCCCAACACGAGTACCTGCATTTCTATCACGCTTGTTCTGGTCAGGGGGATATGATCTTATGAAGTCATACAGTTAATTTAAATAAAGGGTTTTGATGCATGTAATAGAATAATCAAACACATGATCTATGGTATGAAAAAGATTAACAGAAATTTGTAAGTTACCCAAATTTAACATCTCATCAAGCTGATCCCAACGAAAAGTTTTTTATCTGCGGAAGAAAACTCACATAAAGATTGTCCGAAGCCAACCGATATACGTGACCAGCCACATTAGCAGTACTGCTCAACACAAATCCCTTTGCCCTAAATCAACTTTGTCAGATTCAGATCAAAGTTAAAGATGCTGTCTTCTGAAAATCCAGACAACAGTCTTCGGTCTCTGTCCAAAACCTTTTAAATTGTTCAAGTCCTCCCCTCGTAACAAGAGCGTCTCTTTAATCCATCCAAGTACCTCAAAAGAATGGGCACCTTAAGTAACATGTTAAGTATGTATGAAAGTGTCAGCTGAAACTACCATCCCTCAGGCTCCAAGAGACTGAAGCCGAAAAAACCCCCGCCTTTGGGCTCATACACCCCCAGGCAAGACCTGGATGTCCTTTCAAGAATATAAGTAGCAGTAGAGGGAAATGTCTTTTCTACCTCTCTGTCGATGCGGCTTCACTTTGAAAAGCGCGTGTACGATAAAATTTCAATGTCAAAGCGTGCACATGTTTTTTTGTTTTTTTTAAAGTACAATGTTAACAGAAACGTGAAATAAAAAAATAATTAAATACACTCCAATATATTGAAAGTGGGGGTCCTAAAAACAATGACACTCACTCCCATTTGCTGCTTCTAGACTATTGGTTGTGTGAAATCAGACATCGCCGCTTTTCTTTTTTCGGTGTAATCAAAAGAAGCGGAGGCGGCAGCTTTGATAAACTGTAGGTTTACAGGTTTACAGCCAGGACAATCATAAATGATCATAAAAAACTGGAATTACGGTGCTTAAAATCCACGTGAGAGTGCAATTCAAATTCTAATAAGAGTGAAAGCATTTAGTGGTTTTACACCTTGGCTAAATATTCCATCAAAAGTCAAATGTTTCACCACTCACTCAGTGGAGCCGCTGTCACTTCAGTTTGTCCTTGTGAAGATGACTGGTGAGGCAGAGCTCTGCCAGGATAGCTATCGCTCACTGTCAGCCATGACGGCCTGTCACTACCCTGCACTGCCAATTGCCTCAGCAGTTCTGTAACAGACATGACGTGTATGTCACGGCACTCCGATGTGACCAAACGCGTTATGACATCCCGCAGTTAGATGTGTCTTATGACCCATCAAGGAGCCCGTGGAAATGGTGTTAATTTCAGTGAGGTCGTCATTGCTAAGTTCCAGACAGGTCATGTTAGTTTGCTGGAACTAGAAGCGAACTGTCTCGTGGAAACGTGATCGCTTTTTTTTTTTCCCTCTTGCGTGGTTTGTTTCGTTAAACAGCGCAGAAGTGTCCGTGACTGTCACTTCTGTGTACTTCTAAAGATTCAAACTGATCAGCAGCATAATTCACTGCTTTATGATGACACGTTTGACAAGACTTCACACATCATTACCCCGAAACATAAGGCCAGGTGTTTTCTGGAGGAGCGTAATGACAGCTGAGAGAGCCATAAAGAAGAAGGCAGACATGCACATTATGTCGATCTTCTAATTCGGCAGCACTGCACTAGTTTTCTCTAACACAAGCACTAAGAGCAGGCAAAGTCTTTGAAAACCCGGCACATCATGAAAACTGACAAAGGCCTGCTCTTCAAAACCCACAGCCAATCTGTTGATCATTACTTATTTACAAAGGCCTTGAGGCCGCGGGTCCTGTAAAAACACATTTGATATAGTATACACCCAGATGTTTTTTTCTCTGCTTGTTGCAATGAAGTATCCCTTAGGCTACCACGGCGAATCCCTCTCTAGGCAGCAGATGCTGCACGAAATATCACATCCACCTGCACTGCACAGTATTAGCATGGCAAGTAGATGGATTGGTTTGGTGTGTTGATTTTTTGCTGATAGCATTGGAAAAGCCTGGTTTTGCTTCCCAAGAGCCTGGAAATCACCTGGAGCGATTCAACTTTCAAACCACTTTGAACCAAATAAATAAAGGGCAAACGCCCACCTGGAAAAAACAGAGACCAGACATCAAAGGAAATGGTAATGTATGCATACCGACACTTTTAATTATAATACAAAGCAATTTTTTTTTCCAGAAATAGTGAATGTTGCTGATCTGTACTGTATCTGACGGTATTAAACAATACAGACATATGTGGGTTTGAATTCCAAATGTCAAGCAGATCGCAGCCATATTAGCAGTGAGAACGTAAAGTCATCTGTCAGGTTTAATTAAATTTCATTTGTGCTGTTGCACTTTGTATACATCAGGCTGCAGGTCTTCCCTGTTGCCTGGCTTCCTTATAACATTGCACTTAATGACAGTGACTACTATTATTATCGTCCCTCTAATGGGTTCTTGTTGAATAACAGTGTTATCTCCAGTCAAGATCAATACGCTACGATTTAATTTCACGAGACAAGATAAAAGCAAGGTAGGATTTGAATTCGCCTTTCATTGTGATGATACATATCATCTGTGGCCTTACGTGCTGAAAAGACCTCAGAGGGATCCGACAATAGATGAATAGCCTTGGGCTATCTATCCTTTAGAGCCCCTCTGACTGCCTGGTGCTGTCATTAGTGCCAGGCCTGTTTAAGAACTGTAGTCTGTGGGTGTCACATGAAACCTTGTGGCATAGAGCTCATCTCAGAGGCTGACATATTTTCCATGAAAAAAAGGAGCGTAGAAAAATGTTCTTTCAGATGCTCTTTGTAATGCACTGCTTAATCCAACAAGTACTGGTTTTCTTCCTAAAGCACAGGTATCTGTACTTTCTTCATCAAAGATTTGTTAAAGCTACATTAATGACTATATTTATGTCCCTAAGAGGTTAAATTGATATGTGTAATGTGAAAGAGATTATTTGATTATGCTTATAGTTATAAACCAACAAAGGATTATCACCTGACTGGAGATCCCTGCAGAATATTTTTATACCGTCCAGCAAGTTGTTTTGGTTTCATTACTCTTATGATGAGCAGGAACAGGAAGCTAGTCTGTATGTTACCCTCCCAACGCTAAGCAACAAATATAATATATAGCTGTTCGATATAACGATATATATCGGATGACGATATAAAAACGTCTATCGTTTCATTTTACATTATCGTTTCATTTCGTGGTGTCGCAAAATAAACTGTTTACGGCAATATTTTTTCATCGTTTTGATGGTCACTGTAATGGCTATATTAATTTCATAAAGTTCTCTCTTTCTCTTATATAACCACACTACGGACTGACAAGCGCCTGTTTTTATGCGTTATGGTTAGCAACAACGACGGTAACAGCGTCGCGTGTCCACTTGTTTATGTTCCACATAAACCTTTCACAATAAAGCTCAAGATCCTGTTGAGACTTTTCAAAATAAATTGAATCATGTGAAAGAGCAGATTATTTACGGATAAGAATTAAAAAAGAGCCGCCAGGTGCTAAAAAATAAACGTTAAACTCAAACGTTAGAACAGGCTTTTCCCTGCAGCACGACGTGTAATAAATACTCACAAAGAAAACGGCGGCCGTTACAACTTATGTCTAAAAATATAGTTTCATGCATCGGTTAAAACACTCGACTCCAGCTACATGACGCACAGCTGGAAACACTTCCCGCAAGTCGAGCTGCCCGAGATTCACAGAATTTACAGAAAATGTTACATTTTTGTGATTTATATCGTTATCGAACGATAGAATTCTTATATCGGGATATGAGATTTTGGTCATATAGCACAGCCCTATAGCAAATATCAACAAAGTTAGCAGCTAGCTGCTGAACATCTTGGAATAGTTTGCTGGAAAATAGCCTTAAGATTTCCCTCGCCCAGAGACCCAAGTACAGCTAACAGGAGAGTAACTCTTTGAGTCATCAAGTGAATGCAAACAGTTTCTCTGTATTTACTAGTTGTGAATACAGGCAATCATTTTCCTACTCCTTAATCATAACCAGGTCATTCTGATTCCCATTGTGTCAGAACTGCTGGTGTCTCACAGATGCACACAACATGGCCTTTGGCATTGACGCAATGATGCAATGGATTCAGTTCAGCGGAGAGCTCTGGCACCCATTGTTCTAGGTCTAAAACTACCTAGAACTAATCAGAAAACCATAGAACACATGAAAGAAAGGTTGAAAGAAATCTGGACAATATGTGGGAGGACAAGGGTCATAGAGAGAGGTTTGAAAGTGAGGAGCAGAATCTTGTAATGTATTGGTAAAGAACTCTGAACCATTGGAGCTGGATGAGGGGTGTTATATAATTGGTGGACTTGATGCAGGTGATGATGTTTCCTGTCAAATTTGGTACCATTTGGAGCAGATTAAGATGTTCATTGAGGAAACCAGAGAGAACGACATGACAGGTGACTGGGGCATAAACAAGAACTTGTGTGTTGTGTTGAAAAAGGAAAGGGTATGGGCCGTCTCGTTGTCCTAATTGTTATGTAGGCTGAATGTGAGACATTATTGATGTAAATAATAGAGTATTATCTCATAAAGACTTTTAACACTGGGGGAGGCATGGACTGAGGATCTGTGAAGGAAGCAAAAGGGTGTATTTTGGACAATAGTTCTTTGAACCAATGAGGATAACATGACTTGAATTGCTCTTTTAATTTAAGGTCATTATTTGTCATCTAGCAAGCAATAGCGTAGAGACAACGCTAAAGAACCCCTTTGGTGTCAAACCTGAAGGCATTAATTTTCAACATGTAGGGTTAATGTTGTGATGAATGCATCAGGTGGCTGCCCCTCCGTGAGCCTGGTTCTGCCGGAGGTTTCTTCCTGTTAAAAGGGAGTTTTTCCTCCCCACTGTCGCCAAAGTGCTTGCTCATAGGGGGTCATATGATTGTTGGGCTTTTCTCTGTATCTACTGTACAATATAAAGCGCCTTGAGGCGACTTTTGTTGTGATTTGGCGCTATATAAATAAAATTGAATTGAATTGATAAAGCATAGTTTAAACCAAGCCTAAACCTAACCAAGTAGTTTCTGTGTTTAAACTAAACCGAGCGGTGATTACAGTTTGTTGTGTTTTGTTGGCGTTTAACATTTGGCTATTAAAGAAGCTATCTGTATTTTTATGGTGAGGGAATTTATATGTGTAAAAACCCAAAGACAGATAGCTCCTTGTGGTACCTACCTCATAATCTTAGGTGAGGAGTTTGGAGAATTCCTCATGCCTCCATTACGTTGCTTTTTTTTGGGTGATAGTGCTGATTGTTGGTCCTCTTGAACTGCAACAAAATGCCAAAGAAACAGCGTGATGGCGGGAAATGATCAGAAGTCGAGCAAAGATCCACACAGCAGGGACAACAAAAGAACAGCACAGCACAATTTGAGGTCAGTGAATTCAAAGAGATAATATACATACAAGGACAGAGTGGAAAGAGGTCCGGTGAACAAGATGGAGTGGGACAGGACAATTTAACCAGTGGGTAGCAGGAAACAGTCCAATGTTAGCATAATGCAGACAGGATACATTAGCACATCATTGGCATGGTTGTGTATGGAGATGCAAACATGCAGTAGTGCCATTATCAACCATCATGCCATTTGCTGAAGTTTAATCTGGGAAGCTTTATTTACCATACGCACTAATCCATTGAACTGCTGTAATCCACCTGTCAACAGTTTTATCATTCAGATAATGTAGCACCACAAATAAGTTGAGGGCTGTTAAGAGGGCTGTGATTTCGTAATCATAGATTACCGTACTACAGATAGACCTAGACTCGCATCACTGTTGCTCACACTAATCACTCATGTTCTCATTTAATTAAGGTAATAACCTATAAATATTAAGCATCTAAGACTACAAGCAAAGGTGCTTTGAGTCAGTGTTGAATCCTGGATTTCTGGTCTTTGTTCGTCTTGAGAGTGGTGCCCTTGGCTTATACAATTAGGTTGGTCTTTGTGCCAGAGTGATTTATGTACAGCTGAGATGCCCTTTGGACATTGTCTTTATCACTTCAGCAAACTGCACTGAGCTCTTCATAGGGAACGAGTTATAACTTTTACCCCCGAGTAAAGTAATCAGGCAAATATTTTTACAAGCTAATATCGCAGCTGCAGAAAACAACTCTACTCTGTGGCAGTCGCTGGTAAAATAAATACAAGCAGCAAGAAAAGTGTTTCACTAATAGCACTTTAACAGCCATCGTTCACTGGGAAAAGATTGTTACAGGTCCTGGAAAATACACTCGGGTACCTTATAACTGATGGTTCAAGCTGTGAACTGTTTCTTTCTTTTTAGTCTTTTCTGTCTTTCTTTCTTTTTTATACAAAGAAACTGCAATTGCTTTCATTAAAATTAATAAAGTCCCAAAGATCTTGCTCCTCCGCCGACGAACACATGATTTCAAGCACCGCTAGCATGTCGAAGACTGACAACATAATGGAAAACGTTGAAGAAAGAGGGGGGGGGGGGCTTTCCAGTCGAGAGGGATGCTCCAACACACTGGCCCTTCACATCTCGCTCGGCCTGTTCAATATTTAATGTTTCACAGCTGACAGCTGCACACACTGGGTCATTAGTAAGGAATGCTACACATGCAACCACTCCAGACTGGCAAGCACATGCTTTGGTTGTGCTGTTGTTGAGTGCAGGCCTGCCAAACACACTGAGGGTAAGAGGGATGTGGGGGGATGTGGCCCTTACACTGCCTCTGACTGAGTGTGGCGTTACTGGAGTGACCGGGGTGGTATCTGTATTTCACCGGCAGGCTACGGGCTCGCTGGAGCCGGCTGACCTCTTCTGTCACCCCTGGCGGGCGGCCTACCTGGCCTGAGTCCTCGGAGCCCACGAAGCTCAGTCTCAGAGCAGAGGGCTCAGCGGGGGGCAGCAGGCTTCCCTTGCGGTTGTTTACCAAACGGACCGATAAAGCAGCAACTCCGCTACGGGGCCCCTTACAGACCTCACTGGCTGAGGTGTGGTTCATTTTAGCTGACTTGTACCGATAAGGCTGGATTAAGGGACTGTTGTTTACTGCTAAATGAAGAGGAGTCAAAGTCAGCAGCTATACAATACTTATGTTTTTTTCTTCAGGTGTTAGTTCACTCAAATCACAGAAAACACAGTTCCCCTCTTAATTCTTTGGATATCTGTCTCTTTGGGTAGTATTTGCAGAAGGTTTGAAGAGACAGTGCAAAACTAGGGAATAAAATTTCATTTGTGATGCTAAGAAACACTGAAAAACAAACTGACAAATGATATTACCGTGGTCTGGGATAATCTTCATACCATACCGAAGAATAGAAACAGCTCGTAGTGGATGCTGTAGAAACATAGCTGGCGTTTTTCTAATCTTATTTTAATGCCGTGAGAACCACGATAGGAAAAAAAAAGCTAAAGTTATCTAAATGAGAAAGCAGAATATGGCACTTTCTTTGTGATTTTAGCAAACTAATCCTTTAATTCTTGAAGCTAAACACAAGGTAGGATTTGATTTAAACTGACTTCCGTAAGACCAGCAGTGTGTATGTTAATAAAACATCTTGTGACTCTTATCATAATTAAAGGACAGTCACTGGTTTAGGGGGGTAATTCTTTCTGGCACAAGAATGCTAACGGCTGAATAATTTAAAAAAAAGCTCATTTTTATTTAACACCACTTAACCACTTCCTGTAGCCACCAATGAAAAGCTGGATTTGACGTTTACTTTGATATTTATAATAAACATGAATTAATAAATATGCTTTCAGGTGTTTTAGCAATTGTTATGCTACCAGAACAAGGAGGTGACAGTGTGAATCAGCAGCCACTAGCTGCTACATGCAGTTTATGCCTGATGAAGGAGGGAGGAATGAATTCGATATACATTTTAATACTAGCGATATAATAGCGGTGAGGCTGGTAAAGATAAAAAGAGACAGAAGAGCTGTGTTTTCCTTAGTTCAAAAATGTCTGGGAGCTAAAACCGGAGAAGAGAGATGATTATTTCAACAGTCAGCTGTCTAGCAGATTATCCTTCCTGCTCCAGACCTCCACTATTCATCTGCCCCACGTCAAACATGCACAGCACTTCTCCAGGACAACGCAATGTGGCAGATTTGCTGCCTATCACAGATCCTGTTAAAGTGGACTACCCACTAGTTTCACACTCCTGTAAGCGTTGGACGAGAGCTGAGAGAGTTTAAGATCGGCTTTTTGCATTTTAATATGTTTTACTCAATTATGCGAGGCTGAAATGCTTTTCTTGCATACATTTAATTTGAATGTTTTTAAGTGATTTTGTCCAGACTTGGTTTATCCACAGTCATGGTGAAGATGCCATGAGTGTGCTGCTGAGCCCTAACTCATACCTAACACAAAGAATCAACTCAAAACTGTTTCCTAATGCTATGCATAAGACACACAGTCATGGATGATGATGATAGACTAGACAGTGAAATACAGCAGGTCAGGGACAGCTCAAATATTAATAGCTGACAATGCACAAATGGAGGGGTTAGACACAAGTGAGTCGAGAGAAAGAGAGAATGGAAATCAAAACTTACTTGATTTGATATATCCATTATAGCTATTTTTAGCTGAGAAAAATGCAGAGACGGATGAGAGGTTACAGAGAAGAACAGGTCGTAATGAGAGCAAATTATAAGTGACGACTGTGAACGGAAAGCTGAGGGATTTCTCTTGAAGGCACTTAAAAAAAATTGAGGCCGTGGAGACAACACGGACAAAGCAATGAGAAGTAAAACAGGTCGGTTAGAAATCTGATTTTCAGAGATGTGGGCAGTAATTTAAGAGTAGCTCGCTGTCTATGTTTGTAGTCATCTGCTAAATATCTACGGTGTCACTCTAAGCAGTGATTTGGCTATTTTCAAGTCAAAAGAGGACCAGATATCTTGGCTACCTTTAAGTTTAGATGAAAAGCTTCTTTACTCCCATTAAGAATTTAAGACTGAAATATTACCACGTTTGTGTGACTGATAATTATTTATTATTAGCAGTTATTTAGTATCAGTTATTATAGCTGCTCATATTTACCCTCCAGTGAAGGCTAAATGTAAGTTTAGCAGCATTAAGTGAATACTCAAGTGAGAAGCAGGTTTTTATATATCATATATTTTCAGCTTGACATGTTCAATCAAAGACACCTACAATAAACTCACCAGCGCACAAAACTTAAGAAGCGTTACTGTCTTATTTTTGCCTACCCATGCCTGAGACAACCTGCACAGATGTGTGTAACGTTCGGTGAGTCCCACACATGCTCATTAGTAACTTATTTCAACCCCTTGCTTACATTAAAGGTCATGCATTGAGCTTAAGGCAGGACAGTGACAGCAATGTTCAAACAGGGACCGTGCTGGTCCTGGCATCTGTCGCCTGCAATCGGAGGGCGCGAGCAGAGTCACAGGACTAACAGGCTAGCATCTGTCCCACAACGAGAGAAAAGGAGAGGGGCGAGGGCACTCGGCTGCCTGGTGGTTAGAAACTGTCAGGCTGAGTTTCATGACAACCGGTAGCACTCCAAAAATGAAAATGCAAACATAATTTCCACGTCAGGCCGCATAAGGCCTCGCTCCACGCATCTCCCGCACCGTGTCGACAGCAACTCTGGAGCTCTTGCTCGAGCTTTTCTAGCCAGGCCACGCTCACAGCACACAACCCTGGGAGACACACTGAGGGGTAAAAACGCCCAGACGTGTTCAGCTATACGAATGGTTTTTGATCAAGAGTCATTCACTAAAAATTTATGACAGTCTGCAATGTTTTCCAGCAAATTGTATCAATGCTCTGCAACCTCAGACACATTCTTCGTGCCTCCTGCGACACATCAGTACGATTTAACATACCCCCCTGGCTTAAAAAGGGAAATCACACTTGAATTAGGAATTCATATGCAGTTCAATTCTGTTAAAGTCCGCTTGTTAAACTCCAATATGATCCAGCACTCTTCTACCGTCTTTTATTCCTCTTATATTCCAACTCTACTGCTTTGTGTTCTCAATTTAATCACAAATCAGCAAAAACAACCAATAACTTTGTCTGCTTTGCAGATTTTTCCCCCAGTTCTTGTTCAAGCTGTTGATTATAATTTAATAAAACCCATATGTTAACCTCAATATGTACTGTAATAGTCATCATCACAATATCCCCTCAGGTGCTCTCAAGAGCATTATTTACTAAAAAAAGAAAAGAAAAATTAATCGTCGGAGACGTCTACATTTACAAATACCTCAAATCCTATCCTGTTCACCCATTTCTCCAGGGTACAGTGGTGAGATATTATTTGATATTATTTTTTTTAATGTTATGTTATGTCTCCAGTGACATCATTGTAAGATTTAGACAGTCCTATCAGAATAATTATTTGGGAAAATGCACAGTAACTGTGCATTGTGAGATTTTTTGCAGGGATGCACAGCTGTACATTGTTCATGGCTTTGACTTTTTTCTAATATATTTATGAGGTCACTGGAGGGAAACAAATACTGCTGTACACAGCAAAAGGTTTGCATTAGTGACTGTCAATCTAATTTTAAACTACGTTTCAATTTGAATTCACGTTCTCTTGACAAAACACCAGCAAAACAATAGACCAGCATGCTTCACTGCAAAACGTAGCAACAGACAGAGAAGAGCACCAAAAATCAGAAAGCTAAAACACCAAAGCAACATCTACATCTGTGACAACACGGGTGCTTAAATTTGAAAGCACACAGAAGTAAAGACACACGGTGCATGTTACAACACTGAAGAGCACATGTCATGGCGACAACTTACAGGCACGTAAAGTGGCTGAGCAATCATTAACAGAGACAGCAGAGAGTGGGATGTCCCGTTGAGGGGAGTCCATGTTACAACGCACATTAACCGGCATGCAAGTGCAGTCCCGCTCTGAGCGACCGCAATCAAAACAACATGCCAGTTTCATTTTCTTGTAGGCAGGCTTCTTGGCTACAGTCAAGGGTTCATATGGGAGGAGAGGAAGAGCAGGTTAATGTTGAGGGTCATTCTGAGGGAAGAGGGGATAGAGGAAGAACAGGGCATGGAGGACGGCTGCTGCTGGGATGTACAAGATTAACCTTTGTTGTGCCGCTTACACTAGTATTGGCATCCTGTAAACCGACACCCTTTCCCCTCACGTGAACATGACCCCGTGACCTCAAATATGGTTTCTTTAACCTTTTCAGACTTTTTGGAGACTTTTACCCAACAAAATCCTAATAATGCTAACACAGATTTAGCTTGTTTGGGCTTAGTGTCACTTTACTATGTGATGAAATGTTTTTCTATGTTCACTAATTAACTTGCTAATGAGCCAAGCATGAACATCAAATGGCAAATTTGGTCTTACAAAGGCCAATCTTGGCCCAAGGATAACATAAGTGGAGGTTAAAGACACATAATGCATGTTTAATTGGAATAAATAAAACATTTATATATGCACAATTTGATGATTTATAGCTATTTTTTTTGTAGACACCTTGGCTATGTGTCATGGATCTGGATTCTTCTCTTAGAGCCACTGAGTCATATGAGATATAAGGACAATAATATTTCATTTTACAGCTCTTAAATATTTACATTTGTTACTAATGCTTATTAAGAACAGGAGATGACAGAAATCTCCTAAACAAAAGACTAAAGGTGCTGGTATTTTACAAAAACAGTATCACTTCTAGAAAAACCTGCAAGTGCCTTCAGAAAAGACAAAAAGGGAAAAAAAACAAACACTTGAAAGCGTTTATAGTGCATAAAAGCACACATAAGTTAGATGATCCATATTCCATGACAGATTTGCTATTTTTTCCTGAAATATTTCTCCTAAAAGATATGCACACATCTCTGTGGATTACGTCACTTTAGTATGGATGCCAATTTTTTCCCATAATATAAAAAATTAGCAAGGAGTAATAAGGATAAAGGTTTTCCAGTCTTCATCCCAGTCTGTTTCTCACTGTGGTCTTTATGCAGGGGTCTTCTGCTTAATAAAGGGCAGCAGGGCCATCTGGTGGTGATGTGGTGAATTACTAACTCAAGTAGGCATGAATGCTGCAGTGTTTACGTTTGAGCAAAAAAAAAAAAAAAAATCTACTTCTGCTCTGGAATTTTTTTGCAAAATCTATACTGTTGCTAATTTCTTTTGAAAGCTATAAAATTCTATCAAAAGAACGAACAAAAAACAACGTGCACATGACAACAACAAGAGATCCAGGCAGCATCAACCATTGTACATGCAACATTTAGAGTACATTCAAACAGGTCACTTTAATCTGAGGTACACTAGCACGCTGTGCTTTTGAAGGGGAAACAAATCCACATTACTCACAATATATCACTATTAAGCAGATTTTTAAAGAAATGTGTGCCAAGTTCCCAAGCAGCAGGAAAAGAATACATCACATGTCAATGTTAGGTGTTAGCTTTAATACTAGTGGTTTATCCAAGCAGAAGAACATGTAGCACGTGATGTTTATAAGGTTTTAGAAACACGTGATCCGTCCAGGTACCTGTGGTGTTAACAGTCTCTCTGAATGCCTGTTAACATCACAAAGTTATCAACAGTGAACACAGCTACTATACAGAAAACAAACAAAATGCACATTTAGACTGAACTAAGAGGTCTACTATGTGTATTTATAAGAGCTGGGAATCACATGGAAAAGATAGCATGCTATAAACACTATGTAAGAGTGTGTCTGTTAGAAGAGACGTCTATCTGAAACACTCTGAAGGAATCAGTTCATCCAAATCCACAAAAAACATACATTTTGAAGGATATCTGAAACCTCAGCATGGAAAAACCAAAACTATTTGCATGATGAGAAAGTTGGAAAGCATTTTTTCATGTAATTTGGGGGAAATGACCCTTAAATGAGAGCAGGTATTCATCTCATACAGAGATCCAAACATGTAGTTCTACATGGGGAAACTGGAGTGCTTCAGTTTGTTTTGGCTGCAGAAAGAAATCTGATCTTTCTACATGCACAACTTACAAGGCTTCATTTCAAGGAATAATTAATGTAAGAAATAAGTGGTTGGGACAAATGGCTATGTATAGTAGGTCATGTAAATACGCTGTCACCCAGCTACTCGAATGCTAACTCATTATATTTCAGTTTCATCTGAGCAAGAAAATAATGGGATCAATCTAACTTAGATCTTGTGTTTGCATGCAATCACACTTACATTTCTTGCATCCACATTTCTTTATCCTTTTGGGATCAGTTATGTCATCGTGGCAGGCCTTACAATAAAACAGTGCCCTGCGGAAGGAAATCAAGAACAGCATGAGTGCTCAATAAATTGTTTACACATATTTTGTCTTTACTATGGCTGCACAACATCTGCAACAAGTCATTTTAATTTGTGTGCAATCAGTTTATTAACAAAAAATTAATGAAGCATCCAATGCATTTGTCAATGTTTAATGTGCCAAAAGTTGAGCAAAGAGTGTGCAGCTCTATGAGAAGTTCAGGACCAGTTTTAAATTAAGCTTTGATCTTTCATAAGGGCGCTGCAGTTTGTCTCATGCTGTGCCCTCATAAATCTTCTGATCCCCTCTGGCAGGTAACATCACCATCCAACCTCGACCATATGTACCTTTAATCTGTCTTTGAATGTTATCTTTGTGCAAGCAATGAGCAGATACAAGCTAACAGCCAACATTCCTCTTTGGCCTCAGCAGTGCAACTCAAGGATCCCTGAACCGCTGATAAATCACTTCAGTCTGGTCAATTAAACATGCAAAATATGGCATTTTTCTAAGAGCAAACACAAAAGCCAATATACACTTACTGGCCGATTTGTTAGGTGCACCTGTTCAATTCCTCCTTAATGCAAATATCTAATCAGCAACTGCATGCATTTAGGCCTGAAGACATGGTTGGCCCTGCTAAAGTTCAAACTGAGCATAAGAAATGGGAAAGAATGTGACTTTGAATCTTGGTGTTGGTCCCAGATGGATGGATTTACTGTCCTACTGGGATTTTCCCACAGTCTAGGGTTTACAGAGAATGGTCCAAAAAGGTGTATGGCAGTTCTCTGAGAGAAAATGCCTTGTTGATGTCCGATATCAGAGTGGTCAGACTCCTTCAAGCTGGAAGGTGACAGCAAAGGTGCATCTAGCAGCCATTAGAAGCTCAAACCATCTCAAACTGCTTTCTTGAACAAGACAATGAGTTCAATATACTCAAGTTGCCTTACGATTTCATCATGGACGTGTGACCAAGAAATCTGCAACAACTGTGTGATGCTATCATGTCAACATGGGCCAAAATCTCTGAGGAATGTTTCCAGTCCCCTGTTGAGTCTATGCCATGAAGAATTCTGAAGGCAAAAGAGGGTCTAACCTGGTACTAGATAGGCGTTCCTAATAAAGTGAATGAGTATATTTGTAAGCTCTGGCAACATGTAGGTAATACTAACAAAACAAGCGTTTGCAATTTTCCTACATGTAATAGCTCAAGATACAGAAACCGTATGACATGCAGACCAACAAAGGCACTATTGCAGAAACAAGACTGGAATTTAATCAAACGATTGAATCTCAGGTCTCATTCATTACCTCTTTACTTCTTTGGCATCGCTGGCAATAAAGAAGCCCAAGGTCCCCTCCTGCATTTTCACGTGGTTTCCAGGGTTTATCAGGGTGCTGTGAGGATTTGTAGACCAAAGATGTCAAAGCAGAAAGTTATATCACAGAATTTGCAAGGCTTTGCACTAATCACTGCGTCTGGCACACGCTGCAGGGATTAGTTTTCACAACTCATTTGGCAGGATAGCCCCTGTTTATTTAATTAAGTTGATGAAAGCAGATAGCACTTCAAAGAGTATAAATGAGCATCAGCGTGTTAGAGAAACTACTAAAACAAAGCTTCTGCTGTGCTCAAAGAAACCAACTGCCACCTTCCCCACTAATTTGTCACGATGTTATCGGAGAGCCCTGTGATGTCTGTGAATAAACCCATTTAGACATCAATTTAGACACATTGTGTAAAGCACTTGTGTTTGCAGTCAAACAGGGAAGCTGATTCACAGTAGCTGAAAGCAAATACTGACACCTGCGTATTAAAGTTTTTGCATGCATGAATTTTAATGCCCCGACTTACCTGCTTTCCCCTTGATCAGACTTGTACTCTATAGCTATCAGCAGCAGCTTTAGCTTCACATAGCAGAGTCTGTAAGGGGGAATAACAATATAATTAGACCTGAGGCACACTAAGAACTTTAGTTTGAAATCTTCTTAGCTTAGGGTGCCACTTTCTTTTTTACTTTTTAGAGGATGAGAACCTGTTTATCCCTAAATTATTTACACTTAGATTTAGGTTTACACTTTCAAATATTTTAATATGGGATAAATATGGGATTTGACAGCCTATAAAGTATGGAGCCCTTATGTGAACGCCATGTGCTTCCTCTCTATAACTAATTTAACCTACCATCTCCAGAAGCCTGGTTAATAAATACTTGCATAACAATTATCTTTGGATCTTTAAATTCTAATGACTGCAGTTTAAACATCTAAATTACTTGCATCCAGGAATGACAAAGTACCAAAAAAAGGGGGTAAAATAAAATGTTTTAGTTTTACGTACTCGCAAATTACTGGGAAGGACAGACCCACAAAGGCACTGGACAGGTACTCTGTGTACATTTCATTGGCTACTCCTTCAAGGTAATACTTCTGCCATGTATCCTCCTCAATCTACAACAAAATAAAGAAGGTTATACAAAAATATAAAAAGGTGCAAGTTTAAGATCATCACCACCCGCTCACCAGATGCTGCATACGGGCCTCATCTGGGATAACCATTATTATCTATTCAGACTTTGTTTCTTGGCCAACTTTATTTTTGAACTTAATCCAGTGAGCACAGATGGATCAGTGTTAGTTGCAGCTACCTTGATGAAGGACCTCATGGAGAAAAGGTTGGCCAGCATGGTCGAGAGGCCCTGAGCCAGGCAGCTCTGGGCGATGAATCCGAGCTTGAGTTCTGCAAGGCAAATGGCGTCATCTCCCTCCTTCCAGTTCCAGCTTGGGATGTTCAAAAGGTGGGCCTGAGGGGAAGAGGAAAAGGAAGTCAGGCTACAAGGTGCATGCTGTTAGAAACTAAGACAGACAAATGATTCAGTGATCAGATCTTTTCAACATATACTGAAACGTAACTAACTATAACGGAGTGACTAAGTGACTCCAGCAGGCTTTATAGTTGATTAATACAAACCTTATTGTGGTACTGCAACATTTGAGTGATTATCCTGATCTTTGGGTGGTAGTTCTTGATGGATATTACTCTGATAAAGGACAAAAAGAAAGCAATATAAGAATATCTGCAGCACTTTCAAAAGTTACACAGATTTAAAAAAAAAATCTGATTCACTCTCTTTTTATAGAAATTAAGTATCGTAGTCGACTGTATGCTTTAGATGCTTAGATGTATGCTTCATTTAGAAAAAAAAAAACAAAACAATTTTAAGTTTGCATTTTATTTTATAGTTTAATATTTTAAACTAAAGGCTCAAGAAAATAGAACAAGAGAGTTGCATAGTAACATATTCCTAGATCCAGCTACAAAATGCTGACTTTCTCTCTGTCTGGGAAGAACTGATGTCAATTTGACCATTACCAGTTCAGCCTGTTCTCCGAATTTACAAACCTACAACTTCTACCAAGAAATAATTAAATCAACCTGGAAAAAATACCATTGTTAACAATTTCAAATTACTATTCAACCAAATGAGACGTACATACAGAATCTCTCACTGGATAACGGCAAGAGGGGTTTTTTTTTTATATCTTTTATAGTCATAGGGAAGTTGACCTTTAAACCTTTGGATATAAAATGTCACTCTTAGACATTTGTGTGCAGTCATACTCTGCCCAAGCACACAAAAAAGTCAGTTTTTGGCTGGCAGCAAGTTATTTAACCACAGTTGTTGAGTAGTTTCTCTTTTCCTAAACCGCATTATTAGCCTAACTAAATGTGGGTTAAGAACGGTCCAGTGCATTATCAAATATACCATCATCGTTAAGGAAGAAATGTGGTTGGAAAACAAAAGAAACCCAAAACTTTATCTACTTGATCTTGATAAGGGAAACAAACATCTGGTGAAATCAAATGGTAAGAAAACAACAGTAAATCTCACGGGTATGTTTAATAGTGAAAATAGCAAAGTGAAGAGAATTCTCTCAGAGACATTGGGACTAAACAGCTGAGTAGCCTTTAAAAAACAATCAGTGAGGATGATTGTTGGACGCTGGAGCAATGGAAAAAGGTCATTTACCATGTTCCAGGATGATCAGCCCATCAGAGAAAGAAGAGAGGTGGAAAAAAGGGGTGATCCCAACATGCCTAGTGTCCTAGGGTTTTTTTGCCTTTTGAATTTGGAGCTTTTGCATTAATATTTGGATTGATATATTTATTGTGTTTCGAGTTCTTTTCATTGTTATTTTCCTTTGAGTAGCACATGATATCTGGTTGTTTTCTTTATGACTAGATTCTCAGTTTAGTTTTATCTTTAATACCTTTTAATCTAGTTTCTGTTTCTGGTTATAGTTTATATTTAATTCCTTGAGTGTCATATCATCCCACTGTCACTGTGTCCTTCTGTTTCTTGCTGTTAAGTCTATGTTTTAGGTCTTCCTGTTTTCTTTCAGTAGAATTCTTTCAGTGAATTTTTGGATTCGTTTATTCTCTGTTCTGGATTTTTGATGGACTTTCCTTACTCCACTTAAATAAAAGTTATTTTTGTTATTTATTAAGAGCCACATCGAGTCCTGCATTTGGGTCCTTCTGCCAACACCTTCTGTATGCCTATCGTACACGCCTGTGGGGACAGTGTTATGATCTGGGGTTGCTTCATTTGGTTGCGTCTACATTCAGCAATGTTGCGTGCCCAAAACATGGTCCGGCACGAGACATCATTTTAATACACGGAGTGGCCACCATAGAGTTCAAGGAGAAGAGGACCTTTGACTGTTTGACCACAAAATACAAATCATTTCCTTTGAGTCCTAGTGGACATTTGTGACAAATGAATAAATTTCATGTCCGGGAGAACATATGGGAGAGATGCACAGACAGACAAGACGGCTCTACTATAATGATTATGTATTAATCACACAGTGTTTAGATTAGAATCAAGCTGTGATGATTTCTGCAGCACATTTTAAACGTCTTAACCCTTTTAGATGGAAAAGAAATGTCACATAATGACTCTCCGACTTTTTATAGCTGAGCAATTTAATCTTCAGTGGAAAACCTCCAATCCTCAGACTTCATTATCGAACAGAGCTATTAATAATACAATTTTATTAACCAAATTTTATCTGCCTTGCCCTAAAACAGACTGTTCCCCATCACTTTTAAAATATGTTGTACTCTCATATATTATCCACTTGATAATCCCTTAAACCCATTAAAATAAGTGCAGTTTCCACATCCAAAACTACGACTTAATCCACTCCGAAAATGTCTTTTTCTCTCAGAATCCAGCTGAATGTGATTGTTCATAAAACAAATTGAATAAACAATGAAAGCAGGAAAACATAAATCATGATTTGGTTATGCAGTACCTCATGATGTTGGATGCATCCTCGGCATCGGGGTCAGCGCAGTATTTGTTGGCTAAGATCAAGCAGGCATCAGCTGATTCAATCTAAAACAAAATTGCAAATAGCAAAGACAAAAATGAACAATCACATCAAGTATTCAGTCAGACGATAACCAACAATATTACAGAGGAAGAAGTATTGACAGTCAGGTACCTTGACTCTGGCCAGGTCGTGTGGATTTAGGACAGATCCTTGGTAAAACTCTACCTGGGTGAAGTGGCGCTTGAACAAGGCTTCCAGCTCAAGATTAGGGGAAATACTGAGAGACAAAAAACAAACACTCTTAAATCAGAGAACTCTCTAATCTCCTAAAGTTTAGTTTTTTCCTCTTAAACAATGACATTTGCACAAAGTTTTGTACTTACTTATGGAGAAAAACAATTTCTACATTGACATCATCCCTGTCCTTGTGTAGGAAGTCTTTTAGAAAGTTGGATACACTTTCAAGTGTTATGTGACCACAAACCACGATGTGCCTAGAGAAAGGAAGTGCAGAACCATGAGGAAACTCAGAACAAAAGCACACATCTTTCATCTTTTCCATCTTCATCTTTGAGCTGAAATCAAAAGGTAAATGTGAGACGAGGGGCCTGTAACGGACATTTAGGTCAGTGATTTAGAATCTGTGATAAAAACTACGGTAGAGGAGGGATGAAATCCAGAGAGCTCTCTGGATTTCAGTATCAGATTATAAAGGATCAGTTTACTTAGATGAAGATTATGAAATGAGCGCACAGTCTATGTCGATCCCTACATATCATAAACCCTTTATATAAAGATCCCAGTTCAGATTATTTTTCCATCTGTGCTTAAAATATCTTTATTAATTAAATTATTCTGTGTAAATTATTTTGTCTTTTGCACCGATTTGCAAGAACAGTCACAGCTGGAAATACTGCAGTGGTTCTTAAAGTACAAAATACGCATCAGTATCACTTATTTTCTGATAATCTAGAGTAACAATAAGTAACTCAAAGAAAAACACATACTTTCCCGTAAGAAACAAAAAAGCAATGATGCCGACAATTTTATCGAGCTTTTAAAATCACCACAATAATAAGAAAAATATTTTTAAAAAATTGTAATAAATGCAAAATAAGCATGATGTGATACTTTTTCTTCTCAATTTATAAACTGCGATTTTAAATTAAAAATGAAAAAAGCACAAGAAGCATATACTTGGTTTAAGAAAACTTCCCAAACCAAGTCTGGTTTCTTTCAAATCGTACCAAAAGCATGCTACCAGAAACCACGACTTTAAACTCTGAGGCATCTAGCAGAATCTCCCTGTCTTTAGGCTAGATCTTATGGCTAAAAAGGTGTTGAAGGAGTAGTTTGGCATTTTGGAGAATACGCTTATTTACTTTCATATCAAAAGAAATATGCCATCATACAATTTGCTTGCCTTCTCCTTAGCTGGGGAAACCAGCAGCCCTGGCTCTAGTTTGAGTTGAAGAAATCAGCACCTCTCAAACTGCTTAAAAAAATGTATTAATTAATTAAACAAATTCATACTGGCTGTAGTTTTTTGTTCGTTTGTTTTTTTCAGAAGGCATTGTGTACACTTGCGTGTATTTTTGAGCTGCAATAACATCATTTGTTTTTAATTAATTCCGCTAATTGACGCCTTTATTTTGTGTTCTTTAATTCAATACGTAGTATTATTAGTTAGTGGTACACAATAGCATTCTCTGTTTTAATAAAAAATAATAAAAAAACAAGCTCAAATGTAGAATTTTGTGGGCAAGGACAAGAGCTCGGGGTTTTCAATAAAGCACGGGGTACTTGGCTCCGTTCGAATCCGACCTCTCTTAATTAGGAGGAGAACAGAAACACAGCGGTGAGCCTCGGGGTGCCCGAAACTTTCTCCTTTGGAAACAGGAACTGCACTGATTTATACTGCTGTCAGATGGACTGATGGACTGCACCACGCCCTCCATGTATCACTTGCTGGAAAGCACATCGGCTCCATCTCCACTGCACTCAGACACTAACGCATTTTCCGAGTTGCTCTCACTTGTCTTCATTCTTTTCATATTTGTTGGTATTATAAGCAATAGCGCAACAATAAAAAAATGCTGCAGAAGTGCAGGCTATGAATTCAGAAGTATAACTTAGTTTTCTGGCTTTGTAAGAACATTTACATTTATTGTTATTAAGTATAAATTTATCCTTTTTCATGTATTTTATTTTTTTAGTTTGTTTATGAAAACTATTTTGTTTACTTTATTCTTGAGGCAGTCCTTCTGAAGTAACCATCAGGAAATGTGTTTTGTTTTTGGCATTTCCTCTCTGTAGCACAAACAGGTGCTACAGCTTAAGAAACGTGGTGCAGCTGCATCAATTCAAACTTAGTGCTGGAAGGCTTTATAACCCACTACCATGTAAGGCTAGCTGTTTTGGAACTTCACTTAATGTGGTGGACCCTCCACACCACTGTGCAATAAGACTGAAAGTGTGTATGGCCTTTATATTGGATGAGGATTTCCTCATCCACACAGGGCCAAAGTGGAAAAAGTAATGAGCTGCCCTACTGCTTACTCAAGGCCAGATCATATTAGCAAAACTGGAGTGCCACACAGTGGGTGCCTCATGCACACCACAAACTACTTGACCTCTCACAGAATAGGCCCAGATACTTCTTGCAACCTGGGTAGCTTCATATTTAAGACAAAAAACAAAAGCACTGTATGTTTTTATTTATTTAAAGGAGACTTATTAAGCTTTTCCTAGTTATTTGTCATATTGTTGCAAAGTTGGATGCTGATGATAAAGGTGGGCAAAGTTTCAAACGTCAGCATATGTGTAATATGTGACACAAAAGCTCAGTTTTTCAGACTATTACAAATATTTCACACAGTGTTTTTTTTTTTTTACTTTTCATTCTGCATGAAGTCATTGAGAGATCTTTAATATGGTCATCTTGGGCACAAAGCTCTAGCTGTGAACACAGAGCTAAAACAGTCTACTTTAGCTAACAAATCAACTGAGGAGCTGCACCAATGACCAATGCCACATAAATGAGAATTTGAACTATGAATCATGCAAAAAAGTCCAATAATAAAAAACATGGGACAAGAAATGAATGTAAGAGTTCCCTTTTAACTTGAGGCAAGAAAGCTAATAAGAATATTCCCCAAACTGCCAAAGCATATCTTTTAAACTTCGCCTTCAGGGTGTAGGTCAGACTGAAGATTAAGGCCAAGACTGTTGAAATAGCAAAGCATGGAAACATCACAAGTGGAGCAGGGAAATCAAAGTGTTTCCAGGCATACAAAAACTGATCTTAGCAAAAATCACTATGAAGCATGAAGCAATGGTACACGACAAAATGTATGACTTTAGCATTTTCTTCAGTGCTGAAAATGCAGGTGAGCTAAAGTATATGATTTTCTCAGAATTACTCATTGATGCCTAAATGGCTGTCCTTCAACCGAATTATATTATTACTGAATGTTATTATATAATGATTGAACTTCAAAAAAAAAATCATAATTATTTCTCACTGTGTGTCCTTGACATCCATATTGGTCTTTCTGTATTATGTTAAGTTAGCTCCAATGTAATTTGTTTTTCTCGTTTTATCTTATTAAGACTGTTTGTCTGACATGAATTGGAATTTGAGTGATGAAGGAGAGGATGGGTGAACAAAATGTAAAAAAAAAAAGAGAGAATAATGGAAACACTTGATTAACAAACACACATTTGGCGCACACACACTAACAGTAAGCAGCCTAATTACATCAAAAACAACCAGGATTTTCTCACAGTAAAATGATCAATCATGACAAAACTGTGAAATCTGGAAAGAAGGAAATTGTTCCCACTGTTTTGTTCAGAAATAAAAAAAATTTAATGTTCCTTTTAACTGGGTTGCAACCATATTAGTTAGTCTGTTCCCTAGCAACCTCTAATGTAAGTAACTATTTGTATTGGGGAGGAGAGTCTGTGCATAACAATACCAGTAAAACTTTTAGTCATATCAATCTAGTTAAGCAACATTACTCAAAGTAAAGCATAACTTAGAAAATAGATGAAAATAGTGATTTATTTGATACCTCAAACAGTGATCTGGACGGCTGTAGCCAATCAGAAGTTCATGTTTTCCATAGCTAGGTTAAATAGTGATTAAAACTGGTAGTAACCATTTTCATTACAGTCTTTCACTTCTTAACATAAAAAATAATATTTAAAATTAATTCTTTCCTCTTTTACATAAACTAAAAGTTAAAAAGCAAAAATTAAGTTAATGTCAATTCAATTCAATTTTATTTATATAGCGCCAAATCACAACAACAGTCGCCTCAAGGCGCTTTATATTGTAAGGTAGACCCTACAATTATACATGCAGAGGAAAAAAAACAACACATATGACCCCCTATGAGCAAGCACTTTGGCGACAGTGGGAAGGAAAAACTCCCTTTTAACAGGAAGAAACCTCTGGCAGAACCAGGCTCAGGAAGGGGCGGGGCCATCTGAATGTTTTTATGCATTCAAGAATTTTTCTATGTAAAATGTTGATGCTTGAGTTTAGATGTTCTACAAGACAGACAAGAATTAGGGGATAAACTTTACACATAACGGAGTCTTAACCCATCACACTATTGCATTTTACTTTAAATACATAAGTATGTATTAAAACTTTGAATAAACATATTATTTGAATATTATTAAATTGGCTCAACTGACTATAGTTGTGGGGTAACCAGAACTTTATGAGTTTGACATAGATACTGCTACTTATTAACATTACATTATTACTTTTTGTTTTCTTTTTTTTGAAGTTATATTGCTGCTGTACTGTATTGAACCACAATGACGCAATTTACACTTCAATCCATAAAAGGGATCGCTAAGCTACGTGACCTTTTGAGTCATTGGTATGGAGTCTGCACAGCCTCTCCCCATTTTTGTTACAATGAAACAATTCCCAACAGGATAATCACAGTTTATAACACAGTGAGAGAATCCTACAAATGCCACTATTAAGCATGACAACAGTACATCGATATGATTACACTGAAAAATATCTGCCTTTTCAAGATATTTGTGGCTGTTATTTGAGTTCCTAAAGTCATATTTTCTAAAAAAAAAAAATTTGGAAAATCTTTACCAAATCATTATTATTATAAAGTCCTTTTATTATACAGTCAAGGCAAAAAGAAAGTACACCCTCTGTCAATTCTAAAGAATTACATATCAGGGCATAACAAAAATCATATTTAGCCCTTAACATGTTTTAAAGTTAGGCCAATACAACCTGGGATGACACAGTGACATATAACACCATGCCATTATGTATTTATACCCTTACATTTGACTCTAGATAACTTTGGTATACAGGAGTTCATAGCTGACTCAAAGGCTGCAATGTGTCCAGGTTCATGCCTAAAATCATCACTCCTCCACCACCTTTGCTGGACAGTTGGAGCGAGTTGTGGTGCTGTGCATTGTGGCCACTTTGGTCCTCTCTGTCCAAACGATAGAAGACTTGCAGTTTGTTCAGATGCAACTTTGCAAACCCAAGCCTTGCGTCCACAATCTTTTTAGAGAGAAGGGAAGCCATGCAAGTCTTTTTCTAATAGTACTATCACACACTTTAACATTCGCCATGATAACTAAGGCCTGTAGAGTCTGAGAAGTAGCTCTTCTGTTTGTTTTTTGTATTTTGAGCATCGCACAGTGTGACTTGGGGGTGAATTTGCTGGGATGTTCCCTCCTTCATAGATTGGCAGCTGTCTTGGATGTTTCCCCTTCATCCTCACTGCAGAATAATGGACTTCAAATTGTTAGCAGGTGCTTTATAACCCTCCCCAGACTGTTGGGCACCAACAACTCCTCTCTCTCTCATTGCTGATCTCTTGCTTTTTATGGCGTTGTGTTTACACACGCCTGAACGGGCCAGACCAGCAAACTGCCAAAACTTCTGCCTCGCACTTTTGACCGTTAATGAAGTTCTTGCGATCATCAGCAACCTTGTAATTCCAATGGAAGCTGTAGAAGTGTACTGAGTTTTTCACACACTGCTTCTGCAACTTGGTATGGTGTAATACATTTACTTAGTTTCAGGACCTTTTTTTATCGCCTGTATTTAAAAACTTAGAACTGACAAAGGGCATTCTTTTTACAATAACTGTAAATACTTACTGAAAACAGGTCACTTATTTTATGAAAATGATTTTTAGGACTCCGTAACAGACAATCACTTGCTTAAATGGAGATTTTTTTTTCCAGCGTAAAACCAGAAATTCATTTATTCAAAATTTTAAAAAAAACTCCAGCAATGACAGCTCGTACACATCTAAAAGCAGCAGAAATAAATACACATTTATCATGGCCAAGTTCTTCAGTCACAGTGTGACTTTAATGCTCATTGAGATCATTACAATTCAAATCATAATCATGTCACCTCTTTATGAGAGGGCCACTTGAGTCACACAAAACCACACCATTACAAATCTGCTGTTTTGTCTGTCTGTCTGTTTGTTTTCTATTTTATTTATTTGTTTGACTTACTTTCTGCCTCTGGTCGAGTTATAACTCCCTCCATATTTCTTCCGATTAAGGATGAGAGCAGCAATTTCTGGCACGTAGCGAGCAAACATGGCCTACATGCATGGAAAAGAAAAAGAAAAGGGCATGCAGAGAAGGTTCTACTGCGGCGGAGGCAGTAGAGCCTCCTTGAATACTTACTTTCTCCCATTAACCGCACTATAGGAACCACCATATTTCTTGCGGTTTCCTATTAACTCTATGATTTCAGGGACGTAGCTTGCAAACATGGCCTAAGGAGAAGATAGGAGACAGAAGAAGAGACTAAAAAAAAAGACAAGCAAAGAAGAGCAGGTCCTCTATTTTAACTTTAGAGAAATCTGTGAAGTCTGAAAGAGGAGCGCTACTCTACGCGCTGGAGTAGTTTTTTTTAATGTGTTAACAGGAAAACGGTGAAAGAGAAAAAGAAACGTGTAATTATTCAAATTGACTGAAGAAAATCATGTGAATGTAAGCTGAAGTTATGTCACAGTTACATTCACAATAGAGAAAAAGTATGACAATGGAATCCAGTTTAAAGGCTAATATTTTCAGATACTGAAAGAATAAAGGAGAAAAATGAAAGCAGATGAGCGACATGTTGAAGAAAAAGAAAAATTTGAAAAATTAAGAAAAAACCTTATGTGCCATGTTTCGCCCAACAAACACACGTCGGGTTGATTTCAGTAGCAGAGCTCAATGGATGGCAAACAACTTATGGCTGCACGCCACTGCCCAACCACCTGAATATTCCTGCGTGGAGGAGGCAGACGTGCCAGCTTACAACAGATCCAAGAAATTAGCCTAAGTATAAAATTTGTTTTTCTTTTTACAGTGTTTTTAAGAAAACACCTCAGCCTTTCCCCTTCAAGCTTAGAAAAATCTATCAGCATAAAATATATTTTGTATTTTGTTGTTCTGACCCTTCAAATTAATTACCAATCAATTCATCATTTACACCTCTGCTTTTCATTGCCCTACAATAATAGAGAAATAAAGCTGCACAGTGCCCTCCAGTGGGCAAACTACACAATGTCGATTAAGACTTCTGGCTCTAATTTAACTAACAGTATAGATAACCACTCTCATTCTTAATGACGTGTAGCACAAAACAAAATGCAATCGAAGGGAAAAGTGGGCCTGATTACACCCTTTGAAGGTCTGCAATTGGCTTGATGTCTGTTTCACACTGGTGATTTTACAGGCCAATGTGCAGGTGAATGAAAACTGAAATATCTTGAAAACAATCTTCACCAGACAAGCTATATAGTCACATGAGCCCCCTAGCATGCCTTTTAAGTTTAACGGTAGATTATTATTAACCTTTATTATGGTTTTTTTGCATAATTTTGAGCAAAATGAAAACATTTCAGATTTAGAAGACTGAAAAGTCGCTTTAATATACCTCAATCTTACCTCAGTTAAATCCAGGTATTTGATCATATCAAAGTACTGTATGTCCACGCTGAATAATACTTTATAATCCGGTTAACTGTGCCCTCTAAATCGTCATTGCCTATTTTCTTTATCAGGTAATTCGGGTCTGTGTTAAATCCCCGACGGGATATTTTCTGCCAGACTATTCTGAAAGTTGTGCAGGAAGAGGACAGCAATGTTGCTACATCCATATAAAGCTGGGCTGTCATGAATCAACTATCTCACTGTGTTTGTTGGAAAGAGGGAGGGAAGGCAGGAGGGTGGAGCCACCTGAAACCGTAGTACCTTTACAGTTAATAACAGATGCAAAAATTCTCAAATATTCTACATGTCATTTAAATCAAAACTTCAGCATTATACCAAAATCAATGCTGCAACACTGTGGACAACTCATACAGTACATGACATGCAACATACTGTGGTGAAGTGGTGAGCCACAAATACACTTCAATGTGAACAACGGGTGAAGCGGGCGTCTCGACTTAAGTCCCAGCATTTATGTGATGGAGGATTTTAAGCAGGAATAAGTAATGAGAGGGATTTTTACCAAACCACCAAGGATGAAGAAGACCATAAACAGGCGGCCCAGGGTGGTTTTTGCATACACGTCTCCATAGCCAACAGTGGACATTGTAACCATGAGTAAGTAGACACATTCCCAGTAGGAAAGTGCCTGGGAATTTTGGAAGTTTTCCCAAGGATCCCCTGAGTTTTCCACCTGGAACAAAGGTCAGAATTTACACAACGACCACGGAAACACACAGGTCTTTGATGAAGCAGTAAATAATTACTGATAATAGGCATCCAGTTGCTACACAGCACCACCACATTTTCACCTAACTTACCAAATGAATGAACCCTGCTGCAGTTAGCCATGTGCTTATGAAGATTGAACACAGGTTCACCAGCTTAATCGAGTTGCTATGTTAGAAAGAGCCAGACAACAGAAGATGAAGTATTAACTGTAGCTGTTACACCAGGATAAGAAGCCAAACTGGAAGCCCTAGCTCACACAAAAATTCAGTCTATGCTTTAAAACACATTATAAGTCTGAGAGTGAAATCAGAATTAAGGTTCAACCTGAACTATTAAAATATGCAACATGAGAGATTTAAGCTCTTAAAACTGTAGCTCCTACTTGAATTTATAGCTTGTACTTTTTCTTGTGTTGTGGTTAGCCATGCTATTCTTGTTACATATGGCTTTGCAAAAAAAAAAAAAAAAAAAAATCCAAGCAGGCTCCAGGATATTTTCATCATATACAGCTGAACGTTAAGCCTAATGTCAGTGTAAACAAATGCATTATCAAAGAGTCTGTTATCTTTAATGCGTACTATAATCAGGATTTATTAAGTATTGCAGTGTATATGTTATTGCAGTGCTGTCCCTGTTTGACTTCTATCCACTTCTTTGTCTGTTCTGTCAAGTGAGAGGATTATTCTAAAGCATGTCGATATACTCAAAGCTCTTTCTGACGTGACATCTGTGCAAAACTCTTTAATTCTAAGCAGAAGGGGCACAGCAGCAATCTCTTTTGTTCACGACTGCATGATATGGTACGGTGATATAGTTCAGTGTGCACAACACACAAATACACTTGATGTCAGCGTTTGCCAAATGAAACCTTGTGTTTATTTTGCTGTCAAAATAAAACTACATTCTTTCTTCGCGTGAAGCAAAAGGCAGATGAAAAACAAACTGTCAGCTGTATGAACAAAAAAGAAGAAAAAGCATCAATAAACTTACCTTGTCTTTAGTATATTCAAAAACTGTAAAATTTCTGAGAACTGTATCAATCTTAAGGCCCTTAAAAACCTCAAACCTGTGAGAAAATAAACATAAAACACTGATTAGCAACAAGTCAGGCATCGTGAGTGATATCTGATCGTCATTTAACAACCATACCTTTCATACTTTCATCCATGTTTACAAGCTTCATTGGATTCATATTGACAAAAAGTAAAGTCCAACAGATCGACAGGTACTAAGCACTTACGATATTAAAAGAAAATATTTGAAATATTTGTGGGGAAATAAAGCATAATAAAAAACACAAAACAAGCTCGGCATTCCAGATCTTCATCAACTCATAACACTGTGTTTTAATCTCAGGAGCCCCGCTCTGCACCGACATCTACCTGATACGTGCGTCATTCCCAGTGGATAAAACTGAACGTGGACGAGATGAAAACCTGGATTAGAGTAAAGACAGGTGGATGCTGCCACGCCAAATTGAATGAGTAAACAGATGTGACGTCAAATCCTAAATTTGAGGGTATTTATTTGTTGGGAGAAATAAATGGAGCCGGTGCACGCTGCCAACAGTCCAAGGACGGCAGAACACCAACAAACGCCAGCCTGAGCTCCTGCTCATAATCACCACTTGGCTGTATTCACATTCAGGTTAAATGACGACCGTGTCATCGCGTGTTTAATGCCGTTACTGTCGATAAGCTCAGATGATCTGCCACAAAATCACATCTGATAAAGTCAAATATTTGCGCTACGCTTCATCGCCGCACTGCAGCAAACAGCCTGCTAAAGGGCGCCTCATATCTGAGCTTGAAATCTAAATGATTCATAGAACTCACTCATTTTGAGAAAGAAAAGCTGCACTATTCACAGTGTTTGAGCTGCATAAAAAATTTAATGCCACCTCAGCCAAGAGAGAGCAATCAAGTTAAATCCGTATCCCTCTGCATTAATTGGGATGATAAATTCTCCTGCTGGAGTGGATTTGTGTGAATGCCAAGTGACACAAATCAAAGACATTACAGGCAATCATTCAGTTAGAGAAAATAAAAATAAATCATCTTTTTTTTTCTTTTTTATAACAACTAACTGTGTTATGCCTTGCCAAGCGAGTGTTTGCCAGATGCAGAGCATAGCACACAGCAAATTTTGAACATGCTCCAGCTGACCCACAGCATCCAGCACAGGGCTTTAGAAAGAGATTCCCCTCCGCTCTCACGTCCTGAGGATCTTACCCCAGTAGGAGATCACATGGAAGCATGCACCGAAGCTGTAGCAAATGCTGTCCTGGTCCTCTTTATCAATCACCTGGCCGTGGCCCATCCTCACCCTGTAGCCATTCTGGAAGAGCTCCCCGGTGGATTTTTTCCGTCTTCTTGTACTAGAAACCTTCTGGGAGTGTGTGCCTCCATCAGGCCCCCTGTACACTAACATCTTAGTAGGAATCATGTCTAGAAATTGGGTGAAAGTCTTCAGCTTTAGTCCGAAATCTACTTCACATCCACCTCTTCACTGTTCTTCGTCTGCCTTACCAAATATTTCACATGAAAAAAATTTTTAAAATCTCCTCCAGAATATAAAAAAATTTAAAAAATCCACAAAAACAGCCAGGTGCTTTCATGTTTCATATTTGCACCCGACCGGCTGGCGTCAAAAACAGGTCTTTTTTTCGAAGAAGTATTTTGATCTGATTTACCTCGGACCTTCACAGTATCCTCGTGGCGAGCTTAAAGCAAACCCTTTTCCCATCAGGATATTAGAGTGTAAGCTCCTTTAGGAATCATCCAGGGAAAGGAAGAGGCCAGACAGCAAGTCTGTCCATCAGCTGGCTTCACAATGTAGCCTACATCTCATCCCAATAACACGGCAACTGCTGCTGACAAACCAAATTTCATTCTCTAATCTTGGAAAGGCACAGAATGTATTGTAGTCTCACATTTAGAGCAGGAAACAAGATGTCATGTGAACAGTAAAGCTGTGTAGGGAAAAATGAAAAGCTTTGGCAATCACTGTTGTGTTTTACTATGGATTTAGTGCTTCAACAATAATCCCTAAATTAATCGTAGCTGATGTAATAGCTGTTATTGTAGTTATACAAAAAAAAAAATCACCGTACAGAAAAAATACATGAACTGAAGTTCATTCATTCATCCTTTTAGTGCATTTCAGAAGACTGGGCAGTTCAATTAAAGGACTCGTTTTAATATTCAAGTGATATTAAGAGTAATCTGAAGAGAACTAACTGAGAAAAGAGTGAAATTTAAAAAAAGGGGGTTTTTTTGTTTGTTTTTTTCAGGTCCTGTAATTATCTGAAATGTATCTGGGCTCTTCAACCTCTTTATTTATTTAACACATATCACAAATATTTAAATTCGGTTACACTGGTGCACATCGGTGCAGTTAGAAAGGTACGTAAAAGAATAACAGAGCTGTAAAAAATAATCTGGGCTCATTTTACTACTTCAGGACTTCATTGTTCTTACTAATTCATGACTCAGATATCAGTCCACAAAGTGTTGCAAAGAGACGTGAGTGAAGGCGCCAAAAGCCAAAAACACTTGGAACCACAGATCAGTAAACTAAACATGCAAAATATGACATTTTTCTATGAGCAAAGATGCATGTCAACTTACACTCACCAGCCACTTTTTTAGGTACACCTGTTCAACTGCTTGTCAATGCAAATATATGATTAGCCAATCACATGGCAGAGTGCTTCAAAGTGATAAAAAAGACCAAGATATGCAGAAAAGCATCTGTGGACAAACTCTGAAGCAGATGGGCTCCCACAGGAGAAGACCACACCAGACTCCACTCCTCAGCTAAGTTGTTTTTGTGGGGAATATTATCTTCACATACTGTGGGCCCCTTAGTAGCAACTGAGTATTATTTAAATGCCATGGCCCACCTGAGTATTGATGGTGATGATATTCATTACTTTATGACCATAGTGTAACCGTATCCTCGTGGCTGCTTCCAGCAGAATAACATGCCATGTCACAAAGCTCAAATCATCTCAAACAACAACAGAGCACCTTTGTTATGTGGTGGTATAGGAGATTGTGGACGTGCAGTTGACAAATCTGCAGCAACTGCATGATGCTGTCATGTCCTATGGAACAAAATCTCTAAAGCATTTTTCCAACAGCTTGTTTAACCTATGCCACAAAGAATTAAGGGAGTTTTAAAGCAAAACAGGACCGAACCCAGTGCTAGTAAGGTGTACCTAATAAACTGTCCAGTGACTGCATACGAAGCATAAAAACCCAGAACCAAAAACTATTATCTTTTCAGCTGCTGCAGTTTGTTTCTGCGTGAAATATCTGAAGGCATATTCTCCGTAACATCCAAAATGTGTGTCATGCTCGCACCCCGAAGCCTGTCATGCATCAATGAGCTTGTTAATGTGCGATAATATTGGTGCAAACTGGATGTATTTGTGTCAAAGCGTTCAGACAGCAGGACCGGCAGATTGGCAGTTCAGCTAAGCACTCAGTGAAATTTGGACTTTCGAAGGGAAGAGGCAATTCGACAGCAGCTGAGCCGGATGCGACCTCATCACTTGTTTGACCTCAGTTTAGCCACACACTAAATCCTCCATGACCAACTGCACCGTCCATACTGAAAGAGATTAAGATGCTTTCCATTGAAAAAGAAAGAAAGAAAAGAAACAACAATACATTTTTATGCTTGGAGTTAAGAGCGATCAGCAGAAATCATTTTTTTAATCAGTAAAATTAAATAGACCTCTCTATTCTATAAGTGTCCCAGTGAGCCAGCATGGCCAGGATGACACCCTCAAAACTAAAGCAGGTAAATGGAATAATTTAGTATGAATTACCAACAATTTTATTATTTACAGCTCTGCTTTTAATTCGCAAACCATGCCCGAATGTCTTTTTTCTAAACCCTCGACAGTAGCCTACGAGTACAATATTAAAAACTAATATCCAGCATACAGCCTGCGCATGTGTAATTTCATTCTCTAGACAGCCTTCTATCTCCTGCCCATGCACCTGATGTGTGACAGGAAGCTCTCTGTTTTGGCTTGTATGAAATACAGTGAAATGAGTCACGCAGGGCTGAGCGAACAACAAAAGCAACAACACCTACACAAACAGTAACAGCGGAACAACGGGGTGCTAACAGTAATAACCGAATCTCAGTGCTGCTCACGCTGTTTGACAATTTAGCAAATGCAGCCTTAACCGAACAAACCTATGTACATGTTCAGATTCTCAGAAGGCTACTGTTGGCTATATGAGTACTGACAAGAGAAATGTTGTCATATAATGTAAACTATTAGAGGTGTATCAAAATATATGTTGATATTATGACCATGATTTGAGTCGTTTGCTAATCTGAGCTTCTTAGACATAAAGATATTAGAAGCGATCGACTGATAATAAAACAAACTGTGTGTCCGAACCACAATATCGCTCTAACATTATGTGGATAATAGTGATTTAATCACTGTGACATGACTGTTGTGTTTCTTGACAACAAGCAGACATATTTGTTGTGTTAGTAAGCCTTAGACTGCTATGATAGATGGAAAACCAACGCTGAAACTGAACAGAAGTGTTCCTACGGTGTCATTCTGCTCTGCTACGTGGATGAATGACTTTTACATCATCTCTAAAGAAATATTCTTCTCTTTTGATGCACTGTCCATAAATGCTAACTCAGTGCCAAAAGCAAAGCAACAACCAGTCTGCACACATTGTGAAATTTTGCAGATTAAATAATCCAACAAAAACAAAGAAATTGGACCAGACATCAAGTACAAGTACAAATACCATTAAGGAATTGATGAATAACACAATAACTATATGTAAATGTATATAACACTATAGACAGTCTACAACATGTATAAACAAAATAACAATCTGATATCCAAAAGACAGCCGATCAGCTAAAATGCAAGCTATACTCCCATGTGTCCACCAGATGGCAGCAGCAACCAGCATCAATACATTCTACTGTTTCCTGTTTTGACACCGCAAGTCACAATAAATCTGCTCAGTGAAAACGCACAGGCACATTATTGAAGTGTAGTAATCAGGCTGTTCTACTGACTTAAGAGGGCAGGAGTGTTTCTTGCTGAAAGCATAGCTGCTGTTGGTTATATGGAAGGTTTGTTCTTCAACCCCTCAACTTAATCCCCTAATTTCTCACAGACCTCTCCGAGTGATGAGCTTCAGACATTTAGAAGATTGACTTGTATTCTTGCGCTCGAGCCCCCAACAAAGCCTGTTACCTTTTTTTTATCCTTTCGTGTACTTTTCAGCCACACCGTGATTTCATTTGAGTGTTATTAACGGTGCCGTAGAGAGCTCTGCTGGAGAGGTGAAGGGTATGTGAATGACAACTGCAGTATAAAGCCTGCTAAGCACAAGACCGGGCCAAAGACATGGACTCAAGTGGCACACCTTTTCAGTCATACAACATTTGATCCTACGTTAAAGCAAGCCAGCATGAGTTCAGTGAACAAAGATAACAAAGCGTTTGAGTCATTATTGCTGATCAACTTACATGCTGTGCTGTACCAGAGGTTTTTGAAAATGATGCACAATTCCATCATGATAGCAAGAATCTTATTCTTCATGCACGTCATGCAATGTGTCAGCTTGAAGTTAATTTCATGACAAAAGCATCAAACTTATATGGCTAACAATAGGGGCGCACTAATGTCTGTCTTTGCAGCTTTAGTGATGTGCTGAGATTATCTGGTGTGCAAACGACAGCTGTTAGACTTGTTAAATCCACCAGGGGGCACTGCAGGCCGCTGGTAAATAAATGCTCATTGATTCACTGCCAGTAAAGAGAGCCTTCTTACCAAGCCAGCTCCTGTTCAGGTACACTGACACAAACACTGGAGGAACGGTGAAGAAGTCCACCACAGAGTTCACCTCCAGCCAGAACCACAGCTTGTCATTGGCAGCAATAAACTGCGAATACAAAGAGTAGAGTAAAAATTTAAAAAAGAGAGAAATTTGCTACTTTCAAATGAAAACACAAGAGAAAATCACAGAGGAAAATTCATAAATCTTCCCTTAACGCAATAAGGACGTAATCACGACTTCTTCTTTACCCTTATTAACAAGTTTTGACACCTTAATATATATCAGCAAAGATGTGGTTTGATGACCATTAGAATAGGTTCCTGGGTTTTTCCCAGGGTAGCTCCAGTTAAGCTGTATAGGCAAAGATCACCCTCACTAACTTCTGATGCACGCACAGTCAGTTTGTTCTGGAAGCAAACATGACACAAACTGCTCAGTTTGGAAAAGAGAAACAAGGGCTACACCTAGTAGGCGTCCAAGGGGGAAAGAGTTAACTGAGATGGGGACTCTGAGTTCTACTTACACGGAGGCCAAAGTAGAGCAAGAAGAAGACGTTGAATGCCATGTCAATCTGCAACGTGAAGTCTTTGTAGAAGTTCTGACAGGACTCGATGGGACTGTTAGACAGAGACAAAAACAAAAGATGCTCATGTCCAAAGGCAGGTACTGACAATGGAGTGTGAAAACACAAGGTCATTTCTTTGAAATCAAAATGTTTTATGAAAAATAAAACACAAAAGATGCATTCTTCTTTTCCTGAAAATGCATTTTTAAGATTTCCAAAAAGAAGAGAAAAATAAGTGCTCAAAAAAGTGCAATAGTAAGTGTTTTCCAATGTTTTTTTCTGTTGAGAAAGGGCATGCATTTATTGTCACACAAGCAGTAACTTGTTGCTGTACCTGATTAACCCTTAAATAACTGCAAAGCAATGTATCTGAAGAATATGTTGAATTCCCAGAGCAATATTTCACATTGAAACGGTGCCCCGTTCCCATGAGTCTTGCATTTCCCATCTCATATGCAAACATTTCGCATAAATATTAGATCGAACATGATGGAAATGCAGAGGCAAAGCAGTAGTTTAAGGGTTAAATGCATGCAGGGTTCATGTCTCTTTTTTTTGTTTAATGAAATCAAGCAGCCATAGCAAATGCTAGCAATGTAGTGAAGTCTCACCCTTAATAAGCTTGTATCTGGCACAAAGAATTCAAATAAAGAGAAATAATTAACCAAGTAAATGTAAATGTAATAGGTTAGTATGATTGCGTACCAATATTCATGTCCTGAAAGTGAAAAAAAAAAAGCCTTAATTATTATTACTAACACCTAAAATGAAAACACAGGCTTAGTGCACATTTAAAATAGAAAAAGACTGAGAAACAGTAAGCAGTTAAAGCATTAACTGATTAATAAATGTTTTAATGAACAGCTGATAATTTATGTAAACAGTGACTGTTAGTTGTGTTAAAATGGGAATCTTCACTGTAGTAATGAATCGGTTAGTCAATCTAGAGCAAGTTCATGTACGACAATTTTGCTGCTTTTAGACACAGATGAACACTTTTGATTTTTAGACCATTCATCATACAAATCATATTTGTCTATCTAAGCCCAAAGAACTTTTTTATTATGATTTTTGATTATTTTTGATTTTATCCACAAAATTGGCTGATAAACTTTTGGGTTTTTTTCCTGCAAGCAGAGACTGCACGTAGAGTTCTTTTGAATCACATTAGCTCCAAGCAGGTATCTCTCATGGATTTAGCTTGTTGGCTCTCTTTACCTGCAGGGCCCCTACACTTGAATTCACAAGCTTCGCTAATGCACACTGCTCAGCAGCTGCAGTTCTCCCCTGTGCTGTTTAATACCACTCGGATTAAAGAAAATTGCTTTTGTTACGTGAAAAAAAACAAACTAATAGCCTCCCTGTGATAAAACACTATCCCCGTGGAGTACACAAAGTGATTATTTTTTTGAACCAATCCGATACAGAGCAGTGACTCCCATTTGATCTTTAGCTTTAGCATCACTGATGTGATGACGACTGATAGTCGTCAGGTTTCATCCCAGTTCTATTCGAGGATCTATTCTCTAAACGTTAGCTATATAGAGACTTCATTATAGTTCTGTTAAATTTTAAGGCTTAATTTTTTTTTTTACAACCTTCAACGACTCTCTAAGATATTTAGTAATTCTAATTAAAATAAGACTTAGTAAACCTAGAATGGTTTGGATCCTCAGTGTACAACAATACAGTACTTAATGTCTGCATTGCTCTTTTTATGTATTCAAAATTTACAGAGAAGGTGGTGAAAAATAAAATCCTAACTCATCTTCTCCATGGCATCTCTAAGAATAGCCCATGCTGGATGGTTCTGCCCTCGTTCACCGTAATGACACATCGGTCCAGTAAATCCCCATCATTGCAGGATGACAGACCACACACAGGCAGATCTGCAGAGCTAAATAATTGAGTTCCAGCAGGCCTGGTTTGGAAGATGTCTAGGAGTGTTATGGATCATGAAACAGTCCCTGCCCACAGCAGATCTGGTCTCTCCCTCCTTCATTCAATTCAGGCTCAGATCAATCAAGATGGACCAGCTCGCATGTAACGGGGCTTAATGCTGTCTGATGATACTGTATGTGCATATATTTTGCAAAGTAAAGGAATATTTTCATACAAATTCTGAGAATATTTAAGACTTTTATTGTTTCTACCAGCTCAAAAAGGCTCAAAAGTAGAGCTAAGAGGAGATTCTGGATGTATACATAACCACTTGTTTCAAATCCAACATAATTTCTTTTTGTCAGTGTTAATGTTCTCTTCACAAGTGGTGAAAAAAATCAGCCACTGCCTGTTAAAGGTAACTCTGGGTTTTGCTTTGTCACATGTACTGTATATAAAAGATGGACGTAGATTCCAGGTCTAAAAAAGCCAAGTCAGTGTTCAGGTGCACAGGCCTCAGTCACGCAGTCACCCGGCCGGCAACCACATAGTATCCACTGGGTGCTACAGGGAAATGTGTATTCCTCAACAGGTTGGCGAGCTAGTTAAAATCAGTCTAAGATGGTGATGCATCAAAGACCTCCTTCTGATTGCTTTGGTTGCTAACAGATTGGCATAGTTTCCCATCGTCTGCATGGAAGATGTCCACTTGTCTGCAAACACTCACTAATTATCCACGAACTCTAGTGAAGCTTGAAAAATTGCGACACAAACCTACAAGTTGTGCCGTACCACTGAAACCAACATGTTTCAAAAAGTACAGCTTTGATTTTCAAAGTTTTTCTGTTTCCAGTTTGTGTTGTACTTTTACGGTTTTACAAAAACTTAGCGATTAGTTGCAGAGTGTTTTCAGATAAGTCTGCATCTTCTATGCAAACTATGTGTGATGTCAGTACCTCAATGTCATAAACAATCACGAGAAGGCTTTTGGTGCAGCATCCTTTGATTGCAATTCAGTTTCATCACTGGTAACCACTGGCAACTTTTATTTGGGAAACACACATTTTTCCCTAGTGAACAGTGGTTGCAAGGTGGTTGCCAACTGGTCTCTAGGGCTATGTGACTGGGACTTGGATCTGCATTCTTTCTAATAAATTCATCATTAAAGAGCCTGTTGGTGAGTTTATGGTGTGAACTGAATAAAAAAAGGTTGTCCATTTTGTAAATATAGTCAAAAAGGAGGAAAAGCAGGATATGATTTGACAGCACGATAGCTATGTCCATCTTCTATATACAGTCTAAGTTTGTTAGCTGTATATGAAGTCTAGAATCTTTGAGTGTTTAAAGTCATTATTGAAATAAACAACCAAACTATTTAAAACTAAGAAGATAAAATGAAAACATGTAATAGTTTGTTAGTATGGGACATCTCTCCAGCTGATCAGGTGATCCAGACTTACAAATGACAGTTACATAGAACCATGACGTCCACAGTAAGACAAAACTCAAGATTTATGAATTAAAGCTCCATGTACAGACCTAAACCTCCTCTGTGCAGCTCACAGCTCTTCTCTGAATATAAGTGGGTCTGCTATGTTGACATCTCTCTCCATGTCACTTTAAGTTAGGTCAGCCTGTCCATCATATAACAGCCTCAGCAAGGCTTGCACTAATTACAGGAAGGGCTATATCTGTTACAGTCTGCTGCCACTTGCGAGAGAGCAGCTAACTGGCTGCTCTTTGGCTCCAAGTAGTGAAAAAATGGTGTCTGAATAATAGAAAGACCTGGATAATACTGACTGAAAACTCAGGCAGAGAGCCTCATTGAACTAATATGGATATAAGTCAGCAAGCAGGTGGTAGGGCATCAGTCCTTCTACATTTAACAATGTCTCTTCTTATGCATGATGAGTTTAAAGAGAGAGAGGTTGAACGTCATCCTCCATCAGGTGAAAAGGCACTCGGAGACACTACAGGCAAGTTCTGAGAACAGGAGGCCACAGATGGCATCGGTAAGGATGTAACTCTATCTGAGCTTGTCCAGATAATGAAATGAGATCATGCTTGCAAACCACATCAGAGCAAGCCAAGCCCTCAGCTGTACGTCTTCTTATGCAATAACAAATAAGCTGAACGTGTGCCTGCAGGAGGCTGATTATATGAGTTTACAGCTCATTTTCCCTTCTCTGCTTTAACATTACTCCCAGTGGAGACTCACTGTGGGCTTGATAGAAGCTTTTATCCTGGCGTGTTTTACCCCACTTTCTTAATGACACTGTGTCCAAACACCACAAGGCCGCAGTAACAGTATACTGCCTCACATGTAGCTTAAAGAGCCTTCCGCTTCCTCTAGTCTGATTACCGATGGCGATTGTTTTGAACAGGAAATTTTGGACTTTCCTGCCTCTTTGAAAGTCTGATCCTTTCGTTACAGAGATTAAGCAAATTTCATCTGTGAGCTCTAGCTGGTCGTCAGCGGAGATCGCATAGGAAGACCGGAGCAGTTTACCTGGAAAATGATTGGATTAAACAACAAACCAGCAAAAAATAGCAAGCCCGTGTTCTAAATGCCATATAACCATGACAAAGCACTCAGTGGTATTAAGGCTACCTTACATGAACTTCACATTCATGTGTCTGCACTACTACAAATATAACTACAATAGATTTTAGCGATTTAGACAGTAATGTAACAGAAATATCAGCAGCGTTATTACTACACTTTATATTTATTTCCCTGGAACTAAACTGCGGTTCTTTGTAAACTGAATTAAGCTAATTCAAACCTGACTGACTTTTTCTAATTGCACTGCGCTCCCCTACAAATTTTCCACCATTAGCTAGTTGGATCAGACGTTAAACAGTCATTAACCTGCTCCAAAGTCAACATAATGTCTGACAGCACCAGTTTGTACCCATATGCGAGTGACGCGGGTATTTCTCAGGTGAATTCACAGCTGGTGAGTGACCATTACATGTCCTGCCTTCTGCACACTACACCGAGGAGTGCTTCCAGAAGGAAGGATGAGGCTGGCAACAAGACGACTTCAGACGGTGACCTGAAAATTTCCTGGAGCTCATGACTGAAAACAGGTTTTGAGGCCAAGGACAGCAAAACTGAAGAACAAACTTCTGATATCAGTTTCATTAATCCATCTACAGACATGCTCTGATTGGTAGAGCTGCTATGAGGTTACATTTCCATGAAGACTGTGTCTAGCTATGAGGTTACTGATCTTAAAGTGAGTCATATCAGTTAAACTCTCAAAAACCTGTGAGCTACAGGGGAAAAGAAAAAATTACAGAGTAAGTTTAAAGCTAATTACTTACTCAGAGGAATCTATGAAGTATATCACAAGGGCTCCGATGCTGAGTGCAAAAACGAGCACCACCTGCAGAGAATGGGAAAAAATATATATTTTTACTTTAAGTTGAAGTGGTACAGTACAGTATATACACATGCACACTGGACTAGACAGCAGTTTTTTAATCTTTAAGATGTATTGGTAAATGGACACGAGCCACATTTGTCTCTAATTATTTCATTTATTTCACTATTTTAACTGATTTAACAACTTTTAGAAAATGAGAAAAACAAGTGGATTAGGTTGAAATGCGATGACATATTAGCAAGCTTAAAAAAAATCAAATACATTTAAAAACTGTACAGTTTACACCATATGGATATTTGTCTTTGCCCAACAAAGAAAAAACAAAAATCCCCAAACGTTTTTTTTTTTTGGTCACAGCTTCACCATAAACTGATCATCATCTGGGTTTCAGAGTCATGTCAAAACAAACCGAAAATATCTCCCGATTGTTTAATTCCACGACATCAGAAAACCCTGAAACGCAGCATGTACGTAACAAATGTTTTACATAGCAAATATTAGATGGCTATTAATCAGCAGACCTTGATGCATCTTGCCAGCCTGTTATTATTGTGTTATATAAACCAAAAAGAAAGAGTCACAGTGTCACAAACAGACTACAGTGTTACTGTATATCTGACAGCATAAATAAATACGCAAGAGCTTGCCTCATCATGTAAATTGGCAGTGGAGGTGTGGGCGAAGTGACAGAACGTGGCTTCAGCTTTCGGAGATGCAGCTGAGCCTGAAGCTTCGACGTTGACAGTGAAGCAGCACGATAATAAAAACCAGGGTGTCGCTTTTACTCTGTTCATGTTGCCTTCTTCTGCAGGGAGAAGACACTGATGAATAGATCCAAGTCTGGAAGTGGCCAATAGAATCCCAGGCCAGGAGGGAAGCAGGTTGCGGGGCAATAAATATGACTGTCAGTGATGGTGAGCCGCCAGCTCTGCCACGGAGTGAGCTTAGGTGAAACTTAATCACTTCTGCCAGCCCCACAGGAGTTATAACAACAGCATATCTAGTGATGGAGAAACCAAGATTCAGCTGAACCACCTTCGTTTCAGTCTACCCGTGTTCTCACCTGACAAAACTACTAACAGTGAAAACCAGGGAGTACTCCTTGTATTTGTCCAACCAAAAAAGGCAGCTGAAGATGATCAGAAATACGGGCCAGAAGATAAAAACCTCTAAAATCTCTAACTACAGCACATTTTTAAAAAAAAGGAAAAAAAAAAAAGCAGATAAACCAGTTTATACATCTTACATTTTGCAATGCAGCTGTTGCACAATCAGTTTTCTGCCATTTGGGATGGGGAAGACCTAGATTTTTAATCCTTTAAACATAATGTTAATGCTACAGCATCATCAATTGACATTTATAAGTCAAAAAGCACAGCAGCTTATTAAAACCGTTGTGAAACAAGTGTCCTAATTTTCCCTTTTACAGCCAGCGCTAATGTAGACGAGGGCGCGACCCCGAGAGACACAAATAAGAACAGAAAGGTTTCTGCCAGACAGCAGAACAAATGTTCTACATCCCGAAATACACTAGCAGGTTATCTGCAAGCCTACCTGGCTTTCATCTATTTAGAAATGACACAATGGCCATCCTGAACAAGAAACCAATGGGCATGCATAATGAATGAACCCCGGTTAATTCATTTCCATGATGTGAAATTGTCTTGTCAACCTGCAACCACTGATGGCTCTGTAATGACAAAAAGCACCCGCATGCATTTTTAATCATCCCCTCTTCTTTCAAAGCCAGGAAATCTCTTTATGCCTCTGACTGTCCCAGTTTAGAAACTGGAAACAATGTTACTGCAACCCTAGAAATGCTAATCCCAACAGAAGACGACGACTCAGCAACGGCAGTAAATAACACACTCGGGCCGTTACAATGACTGGGCAGTCATGACTCAGTTTGTCAATGAAGCGACATCAGGCAGTGCCAGCGTTCATCATTCATCTCTGTCATCCCATAATGATGCATCACATCTGTATATTCAGCCTCCCTCGGATGTTTGCTGGCAGATGGCTCCACCCACAAGGGGGCACAGAGCTCACAGAGAGGACTGACCACTCCTGCATGATAACCAAGGGAGCTGCCAAGATATACTCAACTCAAATTTGCATTTATTTTTTGACAACATACTCTTACTTAATGCCAGCGTAGACTGCACGTCAAGAAGAAATTTGCATTAAAAGAAATCTTTTTCCCAGAAATTTAAACAACTGTTCACTGCCAGGATGAAAAACTTTGCATCTTTACGGGCAGGTTTCAAGTCATGAGACAAGTCACTGGAGGCAAATCCAAGAACTTTTAAATTTAAAAATAATCCTTTTTAAATCAGTATTTTGTTACACAGCTGAAAGGAAGCACTTTTGATCTCTTGGTGTTAGATTTTTCAGTCGGGTCTTCATGTTGCACTTGATGACGCACAGATATATTATCTAAACATTGTCCTCGGTGACTATTATCAGCCTATTTTCAAATGAGATGACATTCACCGCTGTCACTGGTTGATATTTATTCACTGAGTCGCATCAGTTGTAAATGGTTACATTGTCAGAGACGGTATGATGAACGGGCAGCACGGTGTTACGGCTACAACCAGCTGGAGCCTTCCTGTGTGAAGTCTGCGCGTTCTCTCCGTGCTTCAGTGGTTTCTCTCTGGGTGCAGTCCAAAGAAGTGGGTGGGTTATGCTAATTAGCCAACCTAAATTAGCCGTAGGTGTGAATGTGGGCATGAATAGTTATTAGTCTACGTGTTGTCCAGGGTGCACCCCACCTTTCACACTACGACAGCAGGAATAGACTCCAGTGCCCCCACAGCTACCTTGGATTGGATCAGCAGAGTGTAATGACTGTGATAAAGAGGTGGGAATCTTTAAACCTCTTACTTATTTAGTTTTTGAATACCTGGCATAAAAAGTGAATTAAAAAACATTAACCTTTGTGGTAAATGTGTCTTTGGATAAGGTTTGGCTTTTGCGCTGTACCCATGACTAATGGTTATCAAGTGTTTCTTGGTTTAAATGTGAAAAAGGTTTTAAGTAGGGTTGCTTTTAAGATTTTATCACTTGTATGTCTAAGGCTTTTAAGAAAAAATACTAAAACTTGGAATTTAATCTGAAAGAAAACTCACAAGAGAAAGCTTAACTATCTGTGAAGCAATCTGCATAAATAATTGACCAATTCAATAAGAAATAAATAGATAGAAAAGAACAAATTTAATTTTTGACTCCAATATCATCAGTGATGCTGTGTATGGTGTGCAGGGCTGCAGAGTGCACAAGCAGGTCTCAAGCCTTCAGAAGGCAACCTGCAAACATCAAAAAACCCACTCATTCTCCTCCACTCTTCCTGAAGTGACTCACCATCATCATGTACATACGAGAGCCAGCATCTAACACAAAAACTTCTATTTTAATAATAGTTAAACGTTGTAAAAATTGGTAAAAGGAAATGAAAGAGGTGAAGACTGACAGTAGCAGTTTGATGAGAATCCGATAAATTTATTTTTCCCCATAAATACCTTTTTCAAATAAAGGATCTGGATCTTTTGAATGCTCATTAAGATTTTTGTTGGGAAGAAATGTGCTAATTCTGCAATGGAAGTCTCTCTTCCCCCGATAGGAGAGGGAGAACCAGTAACCAGTTTGCCCCACGTTCTCTTAAAGCGTGTAGTAAATATAGGATCTTGATAAACAGTAGATGCATTGAGAGTTGGGTACGGCACTGCTTAATCCCATTTGTTCATGGGAGCAGAAATCTCTGACCTAATGTTCCTTATGGATGACTGTCCCACAGCAGCTTCAACCACCACACGGTGATGCTTTCCAAAATAAAATGACCTAAGGACTACCCCGGGAAACTCCAGCCAGCCCATCTGTCTGACCTCAAATGCTACATTGATTCATGAGGCATCTCGTGCATACCACAAAAATACAGAAACGCACAAGAGAGACTGAATAAGTTGATGTGCTATCATTGAGCTGAATTTGTAATGCACAAGGTAAGATAACTTTAAACTTCAGATTAGTTTTTTTAAAGGACAAAGCACAAAATTAAAATTGCTGCAGTCTCATATATATCTAAATATATATTTATGTTTTTTTACTTCACTGAAAACTGATTTGGGATTTCTGTATGAGATGGGAAAATACAGTCTGTGAGATCGGCCTTGGTCTGTGAACAATGCTGTAGAGTCTTTATGACTGTTCTCAATAACTACGCTTCATCCTTTTCCCGAGGTGATAACAGCAAATTAGCATGTTTACAACAACAGCTGTAAACGTGATTGAGTGCAGCCTTGACAAACACAGACAACGGATGAACATCTTAGACATTTGCAGTGTCATTGCTGACACAGTGCTGTTTCAATGGGCAGCGCATGCAGTAGGAAAACCCAAGATTGGAGAGATGTTATAACTGGCCACCTGATTGATGATCAACTCGTAGCTGTAAATGATTTCTGAGTAATGTTTGTAACCAGCAACAGTTTAGAAACCTTGGTCATATCTGCAGTTTTAGTTCTATCTTGTATTTTCATTACAGCAAGTAGCTGATATGTTCTATCTTCTATTAAGGACATCTTTGTTATTGCTGAATCTGGTTGAAATGGCCATTTGAATAGTCTAGAGGTGACACTGCAAATGAGAAGGGAAAATAAACTCTTACAACAACAATAATAAACCGAATAATACGCGAAATCACCCTAAATCTGCTGTACGTGTTCATGACTAACAGACTAATAAAAAAGTTTTATTAGTTTTTTTAGTGATTTACAATTAAAATTTTGTCAATGAGTAGTTATAACTTTCCGAGCATCAGCAGACACAATTAAATATATTTCAATTTTGTTGCCAGGCTGTTAACTGTTGTTTTATTTTTTTAGGTTCTAGGACACGGACACACACACACACACACACACACACTTCAGCAGTCTTAATGTCACATTCATCATTCTGGCAATATTGATTTAAACTTTAATTGTTTAAAGAAATAAAGCATT